TTTTTGAGCATTAAAATGTTTGTGTTTCATATGAACTTTGCACAGGAAGTGATTTAACGAAGACTTTTAGTATCACAGCCATGATTTAGCCTTTATTTTTTACTGAACTGTATCGAATCGATTTGAAATATATCGAATTGAAAGTGCACTGTATCGAGATATGTATCGTATCGTGGCCTGTGTATCGAGGTACTTATTGTATTGGCAACTTCTTACTGATACCCAGCCCTATTTAGAAGTCTCCATTTAAAATGTATTTAGAATTTAAACCTCTACAAACATATTCTGAAATGCATTGGGTTCTTGTATTCATTTAGCAGTTCAGTCCTCTTTCAAATGTGAATTCTCATGTGTTTCAAACATGGACAGAACCTTTTATTTTTCATCTATATGTTATACTTAGTCAAGAACTTGTGTGGCTTTCCTGGTTGTTTTGATAAGCAAAGACAGCCCCTATATCATTCAGAACAGAATTTTATCATTTTTCCGGGCTGTATGCATTTGTTTACATATAGTGGAGACATGGAGCATCAGCAGTTAAAGAGATGGAAATGGAAAGAGATGAGAACTATTCACCATATTAAGCCTGCCCGTGTACGTTTATTATTGTTTTCCTATTTTGGTGCTATTTATTGTCCTCTCCAGTGGGTCTTGTTCTAACACCCACTCCCTTAAAATAGAGATCTCAAATTATCCACAAATGTTGCCTCTACTTCACTTATCCTGAGGGAATTTTGCTCGCAGCTAAAATCACTATTTCATTTTTGATGGGTAGAAATTGTGGATAAATGGGTGGACACATTTTAGGTTTATTAAAAATGTAATAGTTCAAAAAAGATGAACCTGAAGGAGAAACCCTCTCCCAAGCACTGATATAGAGATGCACTGATCCAGCTTTTTCAGTTCTGATACAGATTTTGATTCTTTAGCTTTAAGTCAAAAAACGTGTGTGTGCCATAACCTGTGTTTTGTTTCATTCACACGTATAACACACACACAGAATATTTGGGCTGTGTTCTCTCTGTCATGTGGTAATACAGGAAGCGCTCCACTGTGGTTTTTAAACTCTACACAATTTTAGCAGATCCCTTTTGAATACTTTCAGTCATGGGATCACCAAACTCTTCTGTACAAAAGGAAAAAGGAGCCATTAATTTGAAAACTACCACTACATGACATCACAAGTTGGAACAGAGCATTTCGGGGTCTGGAGATGTAGAGACTAATTATAAAGGGTTACTCAAGCGTGTGCGTGTGTGTGTGCGAATGAAACGAAACACAACTCCTGGTATGTTTTTTGAGGAGGTAACAACATTACAACATGGCTTAAAGCTCAGAAGAGTCCATTTTGCGTAATATAGGACCTTTTAAAACGAGATTAAAACTGATCCGAATGTTGGTGGTGTTTATCTCTCAAGTAACCACAGAGCAGCTTTATAAAAGTTCAAACATCAGACATATGAGCACCAACTATAACCAGCAAATAGTCTGAAGTTATAGGCCCAACCAGGATATCCACTGAACCAGGACTGAACCAGGACTGAACCAGGACTGAACCAGGACTGAACCAGGACTGAACCAGGACTGAACCAGGACTGAACCAGGACTGAACCAGGACTGATATGCTGTAAATATGTCCAGGACTGATCCATTTGCAGATAGTTGGAAATGTCGCCTGAGTCATATTTTACATAATCATTGAAAACCTTAATGAGTCACAAAGCACTTATTAGCTGTGATTAGCCCTATTGTTTTCATTGGTTTGGTTTGAGTCACTCTAAAATCTATCTGTGACAAAAGTAACCTCATCGTGTTATTATTTTTGCCGATAACAATAACCAGATTAGTAATAATAATGTGCAATTGATAAAAGTGTTGTTTGAATAACGAATGAATAGGGACGTAACAATAACCGAAATATTGTGATATCGTATCTTCAAAGTTCTCACAATAATATCATGGACCATCACAATATATTGTATTAGAAGTGTCTTTGCTTAAATTAAGAGTTATGGTGCAGCAACAGCTAAAAAAAAAGACAGAGAACTACATAGACCATGATCCTTTGCTCCATTTCAGTGCAGACTACAAGAAGAAATAACAGTTCTAAGCACTTTTAAGTCTTAGTTCTTTGGTTTAAGTCTTGTCAAGGAATTTTAAGAGGAAAAAGTAGCATATTAACAGCCTCCACAAAATATCGCAATAAATATCGTACCGTGAGATGTATATCATGAAAATATCGCACCGAGAGATTTGGATATTGTTACATCTCTAATCGTGAGCCTCCCCATCATATCAGGAGCTTTCCTACAATATCGCAATAAATATTGTACCGTGAGGTTCATACCGTGACGATATCGTATCATGAGACTTGGAGATCGTTACACCGCTACGATTGAACAATATGGGTTTTTTCATGGACAGTTTTGTAGCAACTGTAAACTCTCGCCACTACAGGGCACTGCTCGACATAAGAAAAGTACAATAACAAAAGAATCATAAAATGCGCTGTTAGCATGCTAGTTGTTGTTAGCATTACCGTGACAGCAAAACTCTGATCTGGCCTCTGAAACTTGTGAAATCACTCATAATCGCTGAAAACTTTGGAGCAGGAAATCAGGAACTGTGCCTTTTAATGCTTCTCTAAAGTGTTCAAAGAAAAATATCTCCTTAAAGGACCCATATTACATTCTTATCCATGTTTATTTATTATCATTTATTAACGTATATTTATTATAATGTTTCCTCATCACAAACATACCTGGAGTACATGTGTAACACACAAACCCTGCTTATTTAGGCTGAGTTCTTTTCTGTATATCTGTTCCACCTTATGATGTCATGTCGTAATACAGGAAGTGCTCCACTGTGTTTTTAAACTCCATACATCTTCACTAGAATCATTTGTATCATTTCAGCCAATTTCTCCTGAACTAGAAGTAAAAGGTTTGCCTGATTCATCAACTGGTTTCACTTCGTAGAAACAGTCTGACCTCGCAGTGTTAGAATTCATTCGCTCGATGGTAGGCAGGTACTTTTTATCATTTAACCAATCGCTGCTATTTGGTTGTCACGTATATAATGCACCGCTAATGGGGCTAACTGGTATATTAAGCTTTTCCCAAACCCTGTGGGAAGAAGGGCAATAACGTCTTTCCCCTTGATGAAATTCACCAAATATTCTCTTTATTGTGGCTTTAAATCCTCGATCTCGGGAATCGCACTGAATGTATTGCTCTTCGCTGATTGGCTGGTGCTCAAACTTGCACTTCCGGGGGTTTTGCGAACTGTCTATTGTATTTTGATTCTTGACCTAGTCACTGGAGAGAAATTAAATTGAGCAGAGGCATTAGGTGGCACCAGCCTGGCTAGTAAACAGTAGCTGCTAACTTGAAAATTACCGCTTCATGATGTAAGATGGAAAAGAGCATTTTGAATTTCAGAGGTGTAGACAGACTAATAATACAAGATTTCTCAAACATGTGAATGAAACAAAACACAACTCCAGGTATGTTTTTGATGAGGTTTTTGGCTCAAATAAAATATGGGCCAGTGCTGGAGTTTTAAGGCCGATGGCTCTCTGTCTCTAGTCACTCATTTGTCTTCACTTCCTGTCTGGGTTCAGTGGTAGTCCAGGGCAGGACCTTTCTGTGTGGGTTTTCTCAAAGCACCAGTTTTCTGCTAAACATGATTAATCCTACAGTCGCCTCTGCTGCTCAGTGACCCTCCGCTCTTAATAAGGATGCGCTGTGGGTCTAATAATGGATGACTTAAATGGACAGTATAAATCTCCCTTTAGGGACACTGTGCTGGTAGGTCTCGGGCTATTTTAATATACACTTGTACAATTAATACATTTTCTCATTTCGCTGCCACTGATTTTGTTAGAGGTCATAACAGTGAACCGCTCGCTCTGTGTTTTGGCTGTGGGGAACTCCAGACTATTTTGTTAATCGATCATTGTTGATTTTTTTAGGTCACAATTTGAACAAAAAACAATAATTGGAAGAATTTTAGAATAAAAAATAAGTGATGTTATTTTAGTCTAGTGTATCCTCCAAAAAAGTAAACTTTCTGTGGATTAGGTGTTTTCACATCTTGTAATGTCACATTAACTCAGCCCAATGTGCCATAACCCTATCACTGGGCTTTAAATTGTCCTTGATTTCACGATTTTTTTCAAAAATCTTGATTATTATGAAACACGGTTAAACCTGACTTTCTTAATTTCGAAAGCAGGGTTATTAATAATTAAACAATTTACATGTAAAAGAAATATCATTCTAATTTAAACTGTTTAAATTTAATTGCATATCATCAAATGTTACTGAAGGCAGTTTACAATAGCCTGAATTAAGAGGATATGATGTGAATGAAATGTAAAGAGCCTCCCCTGTTTCAAAGACTAACTGACCTTGATTAAAATGTATTAAAATTGCAATCATCCACAGTATGCAACACACGATTTTTTTCCCCAGAAAGTTTGATTCCATAAAACTGTCTACGTACTACTAGAGTAATGTAATTTATTAGACAATGCAAATGAAGTGAATTAAGGATTTCCCTATTTGGTCATGGTGTCAACAATTGTGGCTGCATGTAAAAATCATGATATTGTGACACAAATTTCATATTAGAGACTGCACTAGATAATTGTGGTGAAAGTTCTTGCCCAAGGACAAAGCATGCACTAGGCCAAGATTGAACCTATCTTCTAGTCTATGGACTAGCACTTAACACACGGCACCACTCTTGTCCTAGTATCTTGTAGTTTAGATCAATACTGTGTTGTTCCACACTTTAGGACTGAGTTAGTGAGTTTAATGCACAATTTCCCTGTGGGGACAATAAAGTGCACTGTACATTACCTTTTTTGAGGCATGGAAACTCATGCCAAACTCGCCAAACTCTTTATCAGAAAAAACATGTACATTTTATAATTTTATCTGTGCTGTAATGATTGATTTGATGTTCACCTGTTTGTTGTTTTGTCTTTACAGGGAAGAAATCCATTTTTCCTTGAACCTGCCATCATCATCGCCATCACCGACGGCAACAAGCTGACGAGCACCGGAGGAGTCCAAGACGAGGTCAGACATTTTGGTTAGATTGAATCAATATCTGTCAAAAAATTTATATTTTTCAAGATTTAGTTCACAGTAGTGTTGGCACAAACTATTAAAATACTTTTTTACTGATTTATAGGATGTAGCCTGCACTCGTACAATTTTAAAAAAGGATACTAAAATCACAACTGGACCTAGGCTGCCAGTGCCTTAACCTGCAGATGGAGGACACGTGCAGTGTTTCAAAATGAACAGAACAGACTATTATGGTCCCCCATAGTCTAAAAAGGAGCTGAACAAATGATACTTTCTACTTCTTTTTCTTCTTCTTCTTCTTTTTTGATCAGTGGGGGCAATAAGTAACATTTATAATCCAGAATGTTAAATGGAATGACTCAAATATGATTCACCTGTGCCACTCTAATCTCAATACTCTGTGGGAAACACTGCAAACAAGTTTTTCCTCATTCTTAGTATACAGAGGCTGCACTAGTACTTTTTAAAGACTGGCTGCAGTTGATGGGGTTTAGTGAGGACAGTTCTTTAGGTTTGAACCAAGCATCCCAATATTGATTTTGGTCATACCCTCAGTTAGCGGTTTTTTTACTAGATTATTAGTTTAAATGTAGATCTGAACCTTATCTAACTTCACTGCAGTTGAGATCCGTGAGTTAATTCCTCATTATATCTTATGCGTTGTCACTGTGTGTATAATTTTAAAGTCTGCATTAATATTTCACTGGGGCTCTTGAATTAAACAGAGCTAACATAAGTGGTTCCTGTCACATTCTCTAGTCTTGTAGTATATAAATCAAGTTGTTCTTTAAAAATGTATAATCAGAGTACAGACCGGAGGCAACTCATTAATAAAATATGATCCATTTTTAAACGAGTAAATTGGCAAGTTGAAGTGTCTAATCTTTCTAAACTGCTAGTGTGAGGCATGACTTGAAATTAATTTTACTCTACAATAAAGGCAGACCTGCTTGTCTCAAGAGAGATTGTTTTGGAATGTTCCACAATATGGCATTAAACCATGTTGCAATAAGCGAATTACAGGTATTTTTAAAGCTCAAAAATACAGTACATTTACAAACATGTATTCTTACTGTGATCAGGGCACCTCTGCACAGACCTGACTTGGAGCTTGGTCTGGTGGTATCAACTGCCTGTCCTAATAGAGATAAATGAGTTAAATGCCATATCATGGAAGAGCCCAAGCAAAGCTATAACATCTCCATGGAGTTAAGCAGGTAGCGTGCTAGACGTGCTTCAGAAAAGTTGCATAGTGCACCTTTAATTCAACAGTGCAGTTTTGAACCAAAAATTAACTGACCTGTTTCCAAGTTGTTTCAGATCAACACTGGAGTGATATGAAATGATAATCTACATTAATTACATTCAATATACATCCACTGATATGTGTTTTTTTTTTCATGGCAGATAACAATTGATTAGAATCCAAAGCAACAGATGGTCAATAAACTATTTATGGGGCCAATATTTTTCCTAAATTCTGTGATTGAAAGTTTACACAAACTCACCCACAGCCCTGTTTTACCACAGACCTATAAAAGAGCCACATTTTGGGCAGTTAATCACTCTTATAATAATAATAATAATAATAATAATAATAATGTTTCAGTTATACTAGGCAATGTGGGTGAAGTGCCTTGCCTAAGGACACAGTGACCGTTTTTGTGACTGGTGCCCTCGTGTGGCTTCTGATTTTCCCAGTGGTCTCCCATCCAAGTACTAACCAGGCCCAGCCTTGCTGAGCTTCTGAGATATGATAGGGTCAGGTTTTGACAAGCTGCTATTGCCACTAGTGTTAAAAACAAGCTTTATGTGTATTCTTTAGGCAGCAGGTCTGCCAAAACAAAATATCGGCCTGTGCTGGAGATATAAGGCTCTACTGCTCTATTTGTATGTTAAAAATGTCTTTATTTTAATCACATTTTCTCTCCTCCTTCACAGTTGCACTTGCCCCTGACCACTCCTCTGCCCGGCTCAGAGCTGACCAAAGAGCCTTTTCGATGGGACCAGCGTCTGTTTGCTCTGGTGCTGAGGATCCCTGGGGTGTCATCTGTGGAGCCAGAGCCATTGGGTGGGGTCCCCTCTGATGACTCACCCATCACCCCCATGTGTGAGGTCACTGGAGGTAAGAAGGCCATGCACAAACAGGCCTGTCACAATGAGTGTACTGCTAATCAAACTTTTCATATCATATCATCTAACATAGTGGTGGGCTTTTTGAGTACTACCAGATCAACATCCAGACTATTGATACTGTGCAGTGAAATCACTCTGGGGGTGTTGTGATGTAATGTTCAGCAATTATCATGGTGACACCAGGCATAGATTAGCAAACACAGCTGAAAAACACATTTTCAGGAGTCTGTGATCAATAAAAGCGTTCATGATCCTGATTAGGTGTTGGGTGTTCCATTTTCAACAAAAGGGGAGAGTGACTAACTGAAAAACTGTTTCCTAATGCTAGCTTGTGACTATAATGTCATTTGAGTGGGTTAGCGTCACAACCCTAGGGAATGTGAATGACATGATATCAACAAAGTATCAATATCAGGGAAGAACCATGGTCTAAAATGAGACAAAACCATGGATCAAAAAGATAATGGGTAAAAATAATCATTAACCCAAGGGAGGACTTTGATATTCATAGATTTGTCTCTAAATTGAACAAGTACTCAAACTGCAGAGAGCCCCAGTTATCATGAGAGGCAGCCCAGTTACCACCAATGGTACATGCACCACAGTTTGGAAACACTGGTTTAATATTAGATGGAGGAAATTTGAATACATCTAAATATTTAAGGCCACTCATCTTTTCAGTTTCCTTTTTATTTTTATTACTATCTTTTACCCATATTATATACTGTAATGATCTGAAATTTAAATGACTATGGCAGTGATCGATCCCTGTCCCCCATTATTCTGAAACTCAAAGATAGGCAAGTTTTCATACTACACTACTTGTCAAAAGTTTGGACACACTTTTTCAATTATGTTTCTTTTCATTTATGTTCATGATAATTGACTGAAGGCATCAAAACTATGAGTGGACACAAATGGAATGAAGCAAACAGAAGACAAACTCAAAATAACAATCGATTTAAAAAATAATACATTTTTAAAAATATTTAAACCCTCCTTTGCACTATTGTCATTTCTTGACACTGACAAAGCAGAGCTGTGAAGTGAAAACCATTTCAGGAGATTTCATCAAGAATATAATTGAGAGCAGGCCAAAGTCTTATATTCAGATCCTCATCGTAGCCACCCTTTGTTTTGTTAACTTTTTTTTTACTCTGATGTCTTCCATATGTATATACAATTTTGAAAGTAGTAAACATAAAGAATAGAAAGAGAGGGTGTGTCCAAATGTTTGACTGGTAATGTCAACTCTTACCATCCAAAACACATGATGGTTAGAGCTGCTTTTATTAGAATGTTTTTGGCCTAAACACAATCAGGTGCCTGTGAGGACGGCCCTGTGCGGCTCAGAGGACAGGCTGGGGCAGGCTCAGGATTTATAACAACACATTAAATACACTTTGTTTCATAATTCCTCAAGTTTCCCTGATGAATCACATAGTTACATTGAATTATAAGGTCTGTTTGCAACACGTCTCTATTTCAATTTCATTTCATTGGCTGTTCTGTTGGTTTTAGTCTTGTTTTAGTCTTATTTTTCTGTATTTTTGAGCATACTTTTTAGGATAATTGGCTTAATACAAATATCTTCTCTCAGGGTTGAAGCTGCGCTGTGTATCTATTCTGGTGGGGGTCTGCCAGCTTCTTGTCTCCATGGAGATATTATTTCTTTGTCTGGAATGTTCTAAACAGTATGGAATAAATGAATATCTTGCAATTATTCAGTTAAAGTTTTTATAGTTCAAATATCCTCTAAAAACATCCATTTATGCACATATCTGACCTGTAAATGAACCTGATGTCATTTGCTTGCCTTCTTGGAGATAGAGATTTAACATTCCATTATGCAACTTTTCTGGTGTTGGGTCCGCCTCATTTTTGTCTCCACGGAGATTTTACTTGCCTGGAATGTTCCACTGTATTGCATTAAACATAGACATCTCCGTAGACTAGACAGTGACACCTCCAGGCCAAGTATTTCTTTTAAATTATTGCAATGTCTCTTGTTGAATACATGTTAAGATTTGTAAATTTAACATATCACTGTGGAACATTCCAAACGAAGCAATAATATCTCCATGGAGACGAGCGGGAGGCAGACACAAAACCAGAATAGTTCCATATTGCACCTTAAAGCGGTGGTTATTCCCTCTCATACTTAACCTGTTTAAATGAATAATGGAGAAGCAATGAATGTAGTGTATTTGACTTGTCTCTTCAGGCGGTTTTATATTTATAGCCTGTTGAACTCGGCCCAAACGCACTAGGCTGTTGTTTTTACCCCTGCTCTGCTCCTCTGCTTCTGCTGTGATGCTAACGGCTGAAAGCACGAACACTGTCCAACCATTCAAGATTTACCTCCAGGACAAACTGTTTTTGTCCCAAGTTCAGTGGTCGGTCTGTGCTGCCAAAATCAGCTGCTCACTTCCAGTTTAAAGATGGAGGAGGGTCATTCCCCTTTTCTATACCATATGAGAGCCTGTGGTAGCGCTGGATGACCATGAGTTTGTCCAAGAAATAAAGATTGGTTTAGACAGAGGATGCCACAAAGTATGCTTGGTGACAATTAAATGTTGAACAAGTTTGAACAGATGTTGTACAGTAGAATGACTGATAACTGAACAGACTGTGGACCATGCCTTGTTTTCTCACAAGTGCAGTGTCATTAAATAAAAACAAGAAGGTACAAGAAAGGTATTTTAATCAATCCTTTATTTGTGTGTGTTTGTTTGTTTTGTGTGTGTTTATCTCAGATTCTCCAGAGGAACCTGTTGACCTGTTGACCTTAATGCAACTATTCAAGTCCCACTGTGTAACCTTTTAGGCAACCTTTTTCTTGCACTTAAAACTTAGAGAAATATATGTTCTTACTCAAAGCATGCTGGCATTTCCACAAACCTGACTTACTTACTTGGTTTAGGGCTTCCACCGCTAAAAGTTATAGCATAGCTTTAATATAATACTCTACTTTATAAATATTTATCAGTGTACAAAAATCACACACTGATAAACATGAGCATCAACAATACAGACTCCTGAAATGATCCTTAGGCGCTGCTCTCCTGGTGACCTGTTGAAGATTGGGTCCCTCAGATGCTGCTCCTTGTACTAGTATAGTGAATGCAGTAGTGTGTAGTCGTGTATAGTGTTAGTGTGTGGAGTGATTGTTCAGATATGCAGTTCCTGGTTCATTGTTCCTGTGGTTCTGTTGTTGCTGACGACACAAAGTTCAGGTCTTTGAATGGAGTGAATGAGTCCATCCTGAGGTCAGCACAGGTCACGATGGATCTGTGTTCCGAACCAAAGCATTAAGAGCATTTTAATGTTAAATCAGATTAATTTATTCTCATGTCATTTTTGTCTTGTCCTTTTACAAAGAGACACTAAATCATATAGAAGTTTGTTTTGGAATTGATTCTGAATATAAATGTTGCAGCTATTGGCTTATGGTGAATTCTTCTGTTTCTGAGCGAGTTTGATATTTTTTTGTGTTGAAGGGTCCACCACTTGCATATCTCAATGAAGAAACTATTGCTTTATCTGGAATGTTCCATAGACTAGCATTAAACATATCTAATCATATCACCACTGAGATGGAGAAGTTACTTAAAGGGTTCATATTACACTTTTTTATGATCTGTTGTCTGTTTCTTCATCACAAACATACATGGAGTTGTGTTTTTTATTCCCACGTTTAACACACAAACCCTGCATAGTTCTCCTCTCTAACAGAAAACTACCACCACATGACATCACAAGGTGGAACAGAGCATTTTGCGCTCTGGAGATGTAGACAGACTAATAATAAAGCATTAGTCAGACATGTGTAAATGAAACAAATACAACAATTTTTTTTTTTTTTTTTTTTTTGAGAAGGTAACAACATTATAACATGGCTTAAATCTCAAGTCAATTTTGTGTAATATAGAGTTTTAAATGAATTACTGTGGAGCATTCTAGGCAAAACAAAAACATCTTCACTAAAATTACTTAGTGATGTATCTATGTAAATAATTAATGGTGCCATCAGATCTAAATGAGTTAAAGTATTGGGATAATGTTGAAATTTCATGTTCAGTTCTAATAGATTCTTGTAGGTAGAATGTTATGTTTAGTGTGTTCTACTGCCCTCTTGTGGACAGAGTCGATCTCTACATTAAACATTGTAATAAATGTTTTTCTACCCATGTTTTTGTAGGTCGTTCGTACAGCGTGTTCTCCCAGCGCATGTTAAACCAGTGTCTGGAGTCTTTAGTCCAGAAGATTCAGAGCGGAGTCGTCATAAACTTTGAGAAAACGGGACCAGATCCTCCCCCACTCGAAGGTAAGGAGGAGGAACTGTCATATGGCCTCAAATGACCTTTAACTGTTCTGTGTTCAAAATCTACCTCTACTTCTCTGTACCTTTCAATATAATGTGTGTCTTAGTAATGTAACTAAATGAAGCTTTGTGACCAACGCAATGTTTTATAGGGACAGCAAGGACCGAAGATATTACTGTTTGAAAGATTACACTGAAGTTTTTGCTCCCCTCATTTATATTTTTACTAAATTGTTCAATATGGACAATATACTAATTATTTCAACTGTGCATTTCCAAAATATGGATGACACAATTTTATTGTAGCAATTACTGCGAAAAGAAAACACACAATTTAAGAATTATTTCTAATTATTGATGTCATGGCCAAACATGACCATCTCATTTACATTTAATGATAAAGTAGAATTAATGTGACAACAGACAGACAAAAAAGCTTTACATTTAGGGTAATATTGAACTATAGATTGAACCCGAATTAAATTGTTACGATTATAGATTTTGAGTTCTTTAAATTATATTGTGATAACCACAACAATTATCAGAAATTATATACGAATATAATGCCTATGCCAAAACCTCCCAAAAATCAGTATTATCCTTTATTTGAAATATTTCTCACTTCTTTGATGCACAAGGTGCAAATCTATTATTTCATAAATTTATTGAACAATCATTTCTATGCTCCTCCTGTCTGTACAGATGCCCCTGTAGAGCCAGTGAAGCCCGGCCCTCAGCCCTGGCATTGCTGTCACAAACTCATCTACGTTCGACCAAACCCCAAAACTGGAGTCCCCATCGGACACTGGCCCATCCCAGAGGCCTTCTGGCCCGACCAGAACTCTCCCACTCTCGTGAGTGAGACACTTCCAACAAGAACATATACTTGGCAATTATTTATACAATAGACTGAAATGTTCTTTGTGCATGCATGTTAGTTTTAAAATGTGAAACCAAAAAATACTTCAGTCCTTTCCTTTAAACCAGGCATGTTTAAAGGAAAGGATCAGCCCTCTGCTTTGTCTGGATTTAGATATGTGGTCCTTGATGAAAAAAGCTTGGACACTCCTGCTTTAAACCTTTTTGTTTTTCACGAATGTTAACTTAAACTTTCTGTAAAGTGAAGTTTTGTTTTACATGAATAAGTTATAAAAACAAAAAAGGCATAATAACTTCAGTAACGTGTAAAATCTTCACTAAATGTGTACCTCTCTTCCTCCTGTGTAGCCCCCTCGCTCGGCCCACCCTCATGTCCGTTTCTCGTGCCTGGACGCTGAGCCAATGGTCATTGACAAAGTCCCGTTTGACAAATATGAACTGGAACCGTCGCCGCTCACACAGTTTATACTGGAGAGGAAGTCCCCACACACCTGCTGGCAGGTAACTCACCCTCCCCCACTATAACACAGTAGCACAGACTAATACTCAATATACAAACTTTGATCAGTCTGGTTAAAACCTGCTCCTCTGCCTCCTGCAGGTGTTTGTGTGCAACAGTGCCAAATACAGTGACCTGGGCCAACCCTTCGGATACCTGAAGGCCAGCACTGCCCTCAACTGTGTCAACCTGTTTGTGATGCCCTACAACTACCCTGTGCTGCTGCCACTGCTCGGTGAGGGGCTCATGTGGGTCTACATGTGGATCTACATGTGGACAATTATTACGGATTCTAAAAGCATTATTGAAACTCATGGAGCATGCTGCATTGCTTTAATTTACTCTTATTTTCTCCCCATAGATGACTTGATAAAAGTGCACAAATTTAAGCCAACTTTAAAATGGCGACAATCCTTTGAAAATTACTTGAAAACGATGCCTCCGTATTATATTGGGGTCAGTCAACTTCACTATATCTTTATTATGGTGGAAACAAATTGAAGCCTGTGTTCTGAAAACAAACTATATAATTAATCTTTGCCTGTTTTTCCACAGTCATTGAAAAAAGCGCTAAGAATTATGGGCGCTCCAAACCTGTTAGCTGACAACATGGAGTATGGCTTGAGCTACAGTGTGGTGTCCTACCTGAAAAAACTTAGCCAACAGGTATTAGTTTAAAATGTTTTAGTCAATACATCCTGATTAGTGTAAAGACTATTCTTCATGCTGTCTAAACTATGGAAGCCAATGTTTAAATATGTGATTATTTCCCTGCAGACTAAGATTGAGTACGATCGTTTGATCGCGTCCATTGGTAAGAAGCCCCCTCTGGAGGCCGCCATTAAGGTGCGGTGGAGGGGAGGGGGCGTGTCTTTGGCCCAGAGACGGGACTTCATTCAGCAGCTGCACAGTCTGACCGGAGACTGTCCTCTGCCCATGGAGCTCAACCCCAAAGAGTACCAGGGCTTCCAGCTCGCTCTGCTCAACAAGGTACTACATACTTAAAGCAACACTGTGTAACTTTCTAGAGGTGGCATGTTACCTGTATGATTCCATGTAAATGGAAAGTTACAACCATATTTCACCAAAGGCGTCATATGTGTTTTTTATTGTTGTAAAGAGAAAACCAAAACTAGTTCATTTGGAGGTGTTTGTAGTGGTCTAAAAATATGCATAATTTTCCTAATGTTTAGCTGCAGAGGTGCCAGAGCAGAGTTTTGGTGTTTGTTTATTTATTTATGTCTTTATTTGACTGGGACACAGCATGTTAATGGACAAACATGACAACATGAATGTAAACACACCGGATTGTAGCCTAAGGCTAATTTCCATCCGTTGTCCCAAAGGGCTGGGGTCACAGGGGCTAGACACTAACAGACACTGTTAGATTCATAGTAATAACAATTAGCTTTGTATCAGTGCAGCAGCCTCACTTCCTGGTTTACAGATGATAAAAATGCATTATAATTAAATGCCGTCAGCACACAGCAGTCTCATTTTGACATCAGGTACAGCTCCTTTAAGGTTATGTAGAATATAAAAGTATTAAAATCTTCTGTTGTTTCCTTGTTCAGGGTTTGAAGCCCCAGAGTTTCAGAAATCCATACGACATCCCACGCTCTCACCTCCTGGACCAGCTGAGCCGCATGAGGAGGAACATCCTGAAGACAAACTGCACATTGAGAGGACACGACTCTGGTGAGAGGGCGGTGCTGGGGGTGTGATGGACAGTTAGGAGGAGTTTAAGGATTTCTTCCTGATATGAAGGATTTTCATAGCAACATTCCTCTGTAGGGCAATACAATTCAGATTCAAATATTATCTTTTGAATGAGGAGAGGTCCTCACAAAATCCTTCAAATCAGGAAGGAATCATTTGCCTGAAACCCATGAATTGCGTGGAGCATTTTCAGTGGGATATGAAGTGCTTTCAAGTTTAATATTAATTTGCAATACATTTTGCTACTACTTTTTCTCATCATAATGCTGTAAGATTTCACATAATAACTGCTGTATATTTTGTGTCCTGTCACAGACCAGCTCCACAGTGTTCCGATCGCTCAGATGGGGAATTACCAGGACTTCCTAAAAGCCGCTCCTCAGCCGCTCCGAGATGCCGACCCTGAACAGCCCAAACGCCTGCACACGTTTGGAAACCCCTTCAAATTGGACAAGAAGGTACACATCTAGTTTTCATTACTAACAAGAACACAACTAAACTAGGTCAGGACCAGGACTAAACAAGGCTCAGTTTCACACATGTAGTACAGTTGGGGCGGCCAGTATAGTGATAACTGAATCATTCCTGTGACTGTATGCCGTTTCTGTAAAATTGTCATTATTTTTGTATTCTAGGTTTGCAAAAGTGTATTTACCTTGTTGTGATTAGTCAGCCATGAAAAAGAATATTACTTATTGCTGTGAGCGATTACTATGTTAAACTAGTCTGTTACAGATTTTATTTAATTATTTTTTCTTGTATTTCAGTTCACTGTATTAACGTGTCCCTTTCCTCTTGTCTCAGGGCATGATGATCGATGAGGCAGATGAGTTTGTGACTGGTCCTCAGAAGCAGGGAAAACGCCCAGGAGACAGCAGTAACCTTCAAGGTGGAGGTCCCAAACGCAGACGCTGTATGTCCCCTCTGCTCCGACTGGGACGAGCCTACACCCCTCCAGTCACTCCCCCCGCAAGCCCACGCCCCAACACAGGTAAACGGGCTGGCTGGAGGAAGTACCCAAATAAATGATAGAACCAACTGCATTAAAAGGCTGTTTCATAACATTCTATTATCTCTTTAGCTTCTTGCTGCATGCAACAGTTTGAGGACTTGAGAAATATTTATATTACATTGTAAATTGTTGATCACTGTGGTAACGTTCCTAATTTTTCAGCATTCTGAAGATAGATTTCTAACCTGTCCCCGAGGTCAGTTTTATGCTCTGATAAAGATTTGCTGGTGGTTAATATCTCTGTAATTACTGGACTTATCCACATGAAACAAAACATGAAACAAAACTTCAGGACTTTGGGCCACAAATTTGATTCATTAAAATTTCTGCCACCTGGCATTCCCTCCACCAGAACAATGTGTGTCAGCTGGATAAAAGCTTTAGTTTCACAGCTCGTCAAAATGGCTTCTTTCTTTCTTTTGTTCCACCAGAAAAGTTACATAGTAAGCTCTTTTTATTACAATGTTCCCATTTTAATTAAAGGTCTCTTATAGAATTGTTTTCCTTTTATTCTAATAGTAATACATTGTATTTATAACTGCTTCTCGAAACACCCGAGGACATTGTACTGAACCAGTTAAACACGTAAGAACAGGTGAATAAGAGACACAATATAATACAAAACTGGATGACAGTGTGAGTGGTGATGTGGTGTGGGACTGTCAGGTCAACAGTTTTGAGTCGTGATTTGAAGAGAGGAAGAGAGGAAAGGAGTCTATTTTGCTGCGGTCAGGTGGGAGAGAGTTGCAGAGCTGTGGAGACCGGAGAAGTATCATGGAGCCAGGTTAGGAGTAGTTTGAATGTGTTGAGAATTTTTAAGTAGATTCTTTGTTTTATGGAAAGCCAGTGGAGTTATTGGAGGATGGGGGTCCTTGTTTCAATGATGTTTAGTAATGATGGCTTTTATATTTTCCTGTAGATTCGGAGATGAGCGATGGCCTTCCTGAATCTGACATTATCATAAACCATTTGAATGAGAATCACTGCGGCTCAGACCAAAACTCAGACTCAGAAACAGACTCAATATGTGAAGAAAACCACATAGAGGCTCTACACCCCACCAGGCATAAGGTGGAGGAGGAGAACGGACAGCCCCAGAGTGGAGAGCTTTTATCGGGCAGTGGAGGAGGGGCAGAGGTGGTTCAATTGGAAGATCAGCCGCCTCGATACCTCTCTCCACAAACGCTGAAAAAACACATCCACAGCGAAACTGCAAAGGTCAACAACGAACTCAGAGCTCTCATCACCAAGGAGATCAGGAAACCAGGGAGACGTGAGTACAACTGGAGAGGAGAATCAATGGACCATTGAACAGAAAATGTGTATTGTTGTATGCATGCATATGGCTGGGACCAGACAAAATTACTTCAAGATGAGGCACGTGATTGGGTCCACGAGAATGAGACAAGAGGAGATTTTGACATAGATTTCAATAAATAAACTGTACATGGGGAAAAGAGCTCAGATTTTTTTTCCCCCATGTGTGCAGAATCTTGTGGTTCTTTCATGACATTTTGGGCCATTCATAGTCCATTTTTGCTCTTTTTGCCACAATTTTTATTTATTTTTTTCAACCAATGATATATTAATATCTCCGCCGATAACCAATATTTGTCTATGTGAATACGATTTTTTTTTTTATTCTTAAAGACCACAAATTTATATTAAAATTCACAAATTAGCTAAATGTATGTATCTGGCATTTTATATCATTATTTTATATTTTTTGTGATGGTGTAAAAGCCATCTTTTCAGTGTAATTGGTCAACTGTGCCTATGTATTTTCTCTGTTCAAAAAGACAAATCTGAGGACAAACTGGGCTAGTTACAATTTCAATATTAGACACATCTGTAAAACAGTATTACCCTTATTGCAACCAACAAGTTGCCTATATCTAAACAGTATATGAGTTTGTAGGGCTACTCCCTCTTCAGCTCTATTGGCATGGCTAGCTACTTTTCACCATACTTTTTATATGATTTTTTCCAAATAGATCCTTGCCTTGCCTGTCATGGTACAATGGTTTCTTTGTTGGTAGGTTGTGTACAGAAAGGTTGAGGACCAGGTTCAGAGTGAGTTATCATGGTGACCAACGTTTAGGTTATACACTGAGTTTGTACTAAACCTGCTAAACCATGCATTATTTCCTAACATTTTAATATTTTTATTTTTCAGACTACGACAAAATTTTCCACTTCCTCAAACAGATCCAGGGAACTCTAGATACGCGGCTAATATTCCTACAAAACATCATCAAAGAAGCTGCCAGGTACGGATTCAGACAGTACAATTATCCTGTTTAGTCGATTGTCAGTTTTACACTAATATAAATAAAGGCAAAATAAATGACCAAAGATTCATAATTTGTCTCATTAAAGGTGCTTTCAACATTATATTTAAATAAAATTGTAACTTGGAGTTAAATGTTCTTATTTCATGCAGATGAAATTACTTTCCTGGAATGTTTCACAGTATGGCATTAAACTTTTCTTTCTGTCTTCCCAGGTTTAAGAAGCGAGTTTTAATTGAGCAGCTGGAAAACTTCTTGGAAGAAATTCACAACAGATCCAACAACATGAACCATGTGGACTCACTCTGAGACTGGCTCTGCCCAAATCCAGAACTTTTGAGACCCCACAGAGACCAGACCAGACCAGACCAGGTCCAGACCATAGACCAGACCACAATCCAGACTATCACCTGTTTAATGTTATCAAATTTGGGGACTAGACCAGTGGTTCGTAACTTTTTGTACTGGGTACCTCAAAAATCTGTTGGTGTTATTGGACTGAATCATCAAGACTGGACTAACCTAGAACTAACTAAACCAGAGCTAAACCAAGTCCAAAATAGGAAAACTTTTCCCAGACTGTTCAAACCAAACAAGGACAAAATGAAGATTATATTGACAGTGTTATTTCTAAACCAGGATTAAACAAAGTCTTAAAAAGTCCATACAATAGTACTCGAGGACAATTCCAGGTTTTATTGATCCTGGTATCACAGTTTGAGAACCACTGGTTTTGACACAATTGACAATGTTATCCAGTCAGTTTTGGTTGAAATTTGACCTGTGCAAGTATCTCGTTATTTTAAGCACTTGTTCATTTTGCTACTGGTCTTTTATGGGGTCAGATAATAATAATAATAATAATTTAACAAAGAATTAGAAGAATTGAATTGTTTGGGAACAATTTTCAAATGTTCAAGATTGAAATTTTTAGTTTTCTGTTTTCAGTCAAACTCAGGGTCAAATAGGATCCAATGGACGAACACTACATAAATCCCCTCATTTTTGGTCTTAAACTCTCTGTATTTTAGTTTTGACAGAGAAGAAATGCACTTTTACCACACTCCTTGAACTAAGCACTCCACTAAGATTTCAAAAGGAAAAAAATGCGTGAATATTGTGTAAAATTGTCTTGAAAATATAAATAATACATTTCTATGGGATGGTACAATATGGGTTGGTATAGTTTGTTAACTTTAAATTCAATATACTGGTACTCTGTCCGTAATAGACATAAACCTATTTGAAGAGGTCAAGTTTTCAGATATTGGTTCTAAGCCTTTATTTAAAAATATAAAATGGGGCAAATGTGCAGTATAAATTTGGGTTTAAAAAAATATAAGAAAATTGTAATGTCACTTTAAGATTTTGCTATATTAGAAAATTAAACAAAATTTTTTTTAAAACTATTGTTACACTTAGCACATTTGTCAAAAACAGAATAATGTTTACTGAATCAATATACATTTATATATTTGTAAAAATAACAAATAATTGAAATTTATTGTCCAAATATGACAATTCGAGGTCATAGTTTGATATTAAACTGAATTCACAAACCGACCCACAAAATTCTGACCCGCATTAATGCACTGCAAAACTAAATGTAATGTTTATTCTTCCATTATATATAAAAAAAAATTTCTGCACTTTTAGATTGATAGTGAAAAATAGTTTTTTGACAATGAAAACATATCGTCTACATATCTTGCATTGTGTAGCTGACCCATATTTTACCATTCAGTCTAAGAAATGGATCAATACAAATACATAATAATAAAATAATGATAATAATAATTTAAAAAAAAATTAGTGATGTCCAGAAATAAAAACAGAAATATACAATATGCTGGATCTTTGGCAGCGCAGGCTTTTCTGTAGATTGATACAAAGTTGTTATGAATGACTTTATGCCATTGATTCATAAGGAACCAATATTATCGTCCATTAATATTAGCAATAATTTAAAGCTATTTCAACAGTGTCTTTTTGAACTACAAAACCACATTGGAACACGCAATTTGCTAATTTTATCCCTTAAGAATTGAGTGAATGTTTAATTGTATGCTAGCTTGTAGGGCTGCCGCGGTTGTTTGGTTAATGCTGACTAGTCGACTATAAACAAAAAAAATAATAATAATAACAGTCGTATTTTGATAACTGAAATCATTATCTGGACTATACAGACTCTAAAGTGCGTTCAAAAGACCTTTTAATAACAGACTAGTCGACTACTAAAATAATCTTTAGCTGCAGCCCTATTAGCGTGCTAATTTCGGATGCTACCTTTTTAAAGCTAACTAACTTTCTTCCTTTATTTGGCATTAGCGCACTTGTACATTCAAAAAGCCATGTTGTAAAATCTATACGTAGAAAGCAGAACTCATTAACACATGTCTTGGTAAGTTTTTCATATTTTTTCCCCAAAGAGCGCCCCCTAGATTTTGGAGCGCTATCAACATAATGGTTCCAGTTCAGTTTTGCTTCACCTTTTACTTTAATTTCCCAGACAAGATATATTGAAAAATGGATCTCGCAGTTGTTTTTGTGGAGAAATGCAAAATTAGAATATCGAGTACAATATCTATAATTACAACTTTTAAAATGATTACAAAAACAGACACAATATTTTTATTCATGTTTTTGTGATTCCTGAACCTCAACCAATACATATAAAGGCACAATACACATCGGCATACATTAATTAAAAGTCTATACACCTTATCCAGAGTCTTCATTAGATCTTCAAATTACCAAAATAAACACAATTTATCAATGCTAGCTGTCATTTAAACTTGTTACAAACTGCTTCGCCTAGTGACCTCTGTTGGTGTTTTGTCTAGACGATTTTCATTTCTACTAAGGTTTTGAGGTATTTTCTAGACCTCATTTTAAAGGTGTCAGTGTAACTTTTCTGGTGAGACATCTGTCACCTGCTTGTTTCCATGGAGATGTTATTGCTTTCGCTGGGAATGTTCTACAGTATGGTGTTAAACTTTTCGATCTTGCATTTCTTCAAATCTAGGTGGTGTTCTAGCTAAAAAAAATACTTTTAAAACATGCAGCAGGGTCACCTCTCCACAGATCTGACTTGTAACTCATCGTGGTTGTGTCAGCTGTTTGTCTCCATGGAAATAGAAAGTTTAATGCCATTTTGTGGAACATTTCTAGGCAAAGCAATGTGTGGAGACGAGCTGCTGGCAATACCCTCTATCTGAAAAGTTACACATTGCATCTCTAAGTTAGCTGGAATAAACAGCCTGGTTACTTAATATTTTTGCACAACTGTTACTGAGTTCTGCTTGAGTTTTGATTCTTGGTGGAAGTCGCCATTTTTTTTCTCAGTTCTCCTTTCACTTACTACACAGACAGGGACCAAAATCTGCCATATGTGTCGTGGGTTGTCGAGGCTACCAAAAGAGTATTTTGAATACACTGTAAAGATGTAAATAAGTCTAGAATAACTATTTAAGGAGGTGAATGTTCGGAGGGAATGGCCTTTTTGTAAGTATTCCCATGAATAAAGTTTCTATTTTACACTGTGAAGGGCCATGTAAATAAAGTGTTAATGTTAAAATCTGGTGCTGTGTGATTTTTGTCAACTACATCAACCCATCTCTTGTTCACAGTGGGATATTTTTTTCAGAAATTAAACTGCTCCAAAGAGAATTGTACATCCAGTATGTGGTATGTATGTAGTGCGCACATAGTAGCATTTTGTGGTTTCAAATGAGAACCCAAACTCATATTGCAGGCAGAAAATTGTTAAAGTAAGCTTAAGGTACACTTTATTGTCCCCTTATTGAAAGTTGCCTTATGCATTTGACTCATCCTTCAGTGCCACTGGGACATCTCCACCACAGTGCAGTGCTTGGAGGCCTATTTCCAGATCTTAAGCTAGTCTAAGGTCTACTTTAGTTGGGGGATTTTACCTATGGTGCATGTTTGGGTTGATGGGAGAAACCCAGAGTGGCCAGAGGAAATCCACCCGAGTGCTAGCCAGTGAGCCACCTTGCCGCCTATCTTTGTGATTATTGAGTATTTGTGGGTTTCAAGCAAATGTTTCCTTCCTGATTTGAAGAATTGTGTGAGGACCTTTACCCATTCAAAAGATATAATCATGATATTTGAATTGCTTTATGGCTGTGGTATTTGAAGATCATTGCAGTATCTTGAAACTGAATATGATTTGATGTTAATGTTGTAGTCTAATCCGCTTTCTCTAGGTGGATACTCTAAACTAGACATTATTTATTCTGGGATAGTATTATTAGTATTATTTTCTTTTAGTCAAAACCAGTATTGCTTTTTTTATTCATTGATTTGATTTTGATTACAGTCAAATGAGGCTGTGGTTACATGTGCACTTAAAATCATCTGATCATGAACCGTTTGATCACTCACATCAGATTTTGCAGTTTACATGTCATTTAAATAATTTTAAAGGTCTAAAAATCATCAATTATAATCAGATTCTGGTGTGCATGTGAACAAACCCACTGGACAAAAGCCAAACCATTAAAGATGAGGAGCCACCCGACAAGAGCTGCACTAAACCACGACTAAACTTTGACTAAATCTGCCCTGAACCAGGACTCTCTTCTAACACATAACCTTTTGAAAAATTCCCACCTGCTTAAAAAAAGACAGAAACAGACATATTGTAAAAACATGTAGTAAAATTTTATTTACAGAGCTGTACAAAAATAAAGTCCCTCTTCCTGGAGTCAGAATAAATACCAGCATGAAAATGTGGGGGCGGGGCTTAGAGGAAAAAGACTCAAGATGATTGGTCGACTGGGTTCATAACTCGGCCCATGAACAGGATTGAACCTGGAATGGAGAAGAAATATTTACCACATTATGTTTAGATTTTTTCCAATCCATTTCAAGAAAATGTTTAAAATGTTACTATTTACTTATTCTACTTATTTTATTGTTTTCATTTGATAGTATTAAAGGAACTGTGTGTAACCTAGCCTGTGATCTTACGGTTTTACAAAGATAATCCATCACAACTTGACCCTGTGTTGCCAGAGCCTTAACCTACAAATAGAGGAGGACACATACAAATTTTTCTCATTCTCAGTATATGGACAGGACAGGCCTCATGTGAAAGAGCAGAACCTCCAGAATTCCCTCACTGAGCTGCAGAGGCTGCACTAGCACTGATTGGTGGTGCTGGGGTTTAGATAGTGACCATTCAGATCAGAGAGAAGCATTTTAGGTTTTAACCAACTGGATTTCAGTATTGAACCTGGCAACCCCCATTCTGCTTTCTGATGGATAATAACCTTGAGAACCAAAATAGGCTCTAATCACGCTTACATCATAAACCAGGAAGACGTTTGGAAACGTGATGAAAACTTCCGGTGTAGTTACGGACAATGGGTTCAGCAACCGACTGTGATAAAAACCCACTGAAGTAAATGTGATCAGTTTGGAATCATGTTGAATTTGGCACCTCATCTCTTCTAATCGCATGTACCCAGTGCACTCAGAGTTGTGTGTCAGTGGGGAAATTATGAAAACTGAGGTATGGTTGTAATTGTTGATTAGCTGAACATAACGGAACACTACAATGACATGGAGAAGAAGAAAACTGATAGCAAGACTTGCATTACCTAGTGCCTCCGCTCATTTCATTTCTCTCCAGTGATTAGGTCAGGACTCAGAATACACTAGACGGTTTGCAAAAACCCCAGAAGTGCAAGTTCAGGCACCAGCCAATCAGGGAAGAGCCATACATTCTGTGTTGGCAACGATTCCCGAGATCGGGGATTTAAAGCAGGAATGTTTGGAAGAGAATGTTTGGTGAATTTCATCAAGGGGAAAGATGTTACTGTCCTTCTTTCTATGGGATTTAGGAAAAGCTTAATATACCAGTTAGCCCCATTAGCGGTGCATTACATAAGTCATGACCAAATAGCAGCGGTTGGTTAAATGATAAAAAGTACCCGCCTACTGTCGAGCAAACGAAATTTAAGGCTGTAAGGTAAGATGGTTTGTACGAAATGAAATGAAGTAAAACCGACTGATGAATCAGGCTAGAAAACTGAGACTTTTTTTTTCATTTTTCCTAGACTTTGTCAGACTTACTACCGCGAATAGAGCCCACCAGAAGTCGTCATCGCATGTTTCCAAGCGTCTTCCTGGTTTGTGACGTAAGTGTGAATAGAGCCTATCATAACACCATGTCCAATGTTTTTTGTATTTACAAAAAACAGCATTACAATTGTTACAAGGTTAACATGTTCCAATTAAAATAAAGCTAGTATCTGGGGGGATAGATCCTGCTTACAGTTCCTTTTAATATAATCACATGTAAGTAAAATAGGAGGCCTCTTTTTAACCCATAAAGGGAGAACTCCTGATTAGAATTTATCAATGCAAAATCTACTTTATGCAAGGTTGGGGGTCCATCACCTGCTTGTTTCCATGGATATGTCACTGCTCTGTCTGGATTGTTTTACCTCACATCTCTTCAATTACCGGTGGTTTTATGGCTCAAAAATACTTAGAAAAACAGGGATTCTGACTGTGAGCGGGTTTGCCACTCTACAGATCTGACCTGTAACTTCTGGTTTGGTCTCCATGAAGATAGAAAGTTTTAATACGATAGAGTGAAACATTCCAGACAAAGGAATAGCATCTCCATGGAGATAATCATTTGACAGACCCTCCACCAGAAATGTTACACAATGCATTTTTATGTATCAATTTTAGTAAAATTAAAACAAATAAATAAACCAGAGTGAAGAGTTTTACCTGTTTTACTGTGTCTTAGTAGAAACAAAAATGGACGGTCCGCTTTGAAAACTGGAGCTCGTGATCGCTTCAGTAGCACCATCGCTGCAACAGGTCAGAGAGATTTGTAATATTTAGATTCCCATAATTCACTGTTTAAAACTTATTTTGGTTTCTGTTAAAATGCTTGTCTCACCTGTAGCTGCTGCGGCTTTGGTCCCATCTTCAGTCACTTCTATCCTCACGTCATGAAAAGCGTCAGACACGTACAGGCCCTCCTCTGCTCAGACAAAAAGGTACAGAGTATTTTTAGAATCCTAATTGCTTGTCTGTATAATATAAAAATGCTTATAACAAAGTGAGCAAGTAAGTAGCTTTTATTTATATAGAGCATTTCATAGCCACAAAGAGCTTCACAGTAAAAATGCCATTAAATACTGCGCAGCAAAAATACAATACAGCAATAAGGTTAAAATGCTTGTTCAGGGGACGTTTCTGGCAGAGTGTTCATATCTTGGTCTGCTTTGTGATATTGTTGCTAGGCTAGAAATGTTTCACAGTATGGCATTAGGCTTACAGTACATACAGTATAGCATTTATTTCATTTCAGGTGTGTTTATTGTTCAAAAATACCTGAAAAAACATGTAGTTTTACTGTGAACTTGGGTGCCTCTCCACAAAACTGACCTGTAATTTGGCCTGATTTTTCACCATGGACAAGTTAAAAGCTATACTGTGCAACATTTTACATTCATTCAACATTCATTCAAAGCAAAAGTATCTCCAGCTGAAAGACCCTCCATCAGAAAAGTTACAGTTTGCCATTAAATACACAGACAGATGGACGGATGGAGGTGTTTCTGACCTGAGATCCTGGAGAAATCCGCTGTTGACGGGTTGAATGCATCACTGATTCCCATCACAGGTAACACTGTCTTGAGGTTGAACCGATTCTGCATTTTAAACCTGGAACAAAACCAAAATGCCTATACAGTTGTTGAAATATTTACTGGTTTAAACCCTCTGTATGTTATTTTTTCCCATATATTATGCAAAATGTGTCTAGCTGCAGTTCAAATATACCGTATAAGCAGCTCTTGAGGTCAAAAAGTCCACTGTGTGCTGTCGGCATCTAATTATAAAGTATTTTATTGTGCCATAATCAGGAAGTGCATGTTAGAATCCTAGTCATTGTTAGCTTTACAGTGACTGCAAAGTTACTTAGTGGTTATAAACTCATCGTTATGAATAATTAGGATGCTCTGAATCAGGGACTACTGTAAAGAGTTTAAAATGAATTAGTTCTGTTTTTCACATTTTTAAAACAGTAAAATCAGGTAGAGCATTTTTAAGTTTTTATTCTACATATGCACTTTTACTGTTTACATAATGACCTTTGACCCCTAACCTGGGTATAAAGATGTCCATCCTGGTCCTCCTCAGTCCTGCATCCCAGCTCCAGAGGTGCCGGGGCCCAAGCTGCTCCTCCAGAGGCCCCAGAGGGCTCCTACGGTCTGAGGGCAGCACCAGCTGAAGGCTCAGGGACTGGCCCAGGTACGGCAGCTCCAGGACTGTGTACCTCTGTTCTGAGCCCGCCCGGAACTGACCTGCAGGGGGCGCAGTGACAGTCACATGTCACAGAGGGAACACTGGCGACTTCAGGTGTGGTCATTAATTGTAATTGATTGAATTGTTTGTTATCTGTTTTTTAAATGTATTATTAGTTATAACTATATTATATATAACTGTATTATTCTAACACTTATAAGGCATTTCCATTATAATCCATAATACAAATCTTGTCTTTTCTGCTGGAGGGGTAGCTAACTGCTTGTCTCAACAGAATGCTCCACAGTATGGCATTAAAGTTGTCTAGCTCCATGGTGACACCTTCAGGCCATGTTACAGATCAGATCAGTGGAAAGGTAACCTCGCTCCCAATAAGAATGCATGTTATCAAGGTATTTTTAGTAATAACAAACATGTGTAATTGTATACATGCAAGATGAATAAAACGTCATACTGTGGAACGATAACCTGCCCATGGAAACAAGCAGTTTGCAGAATCGTCCAACTGGAAAGTTACATAGTGCAACTTAAAATTTCTACCTGTATTGTTAAATCAAAATTCAGTTTGTGCACATCTTAAAAATGTGCACCATTGCTTTGTCAATTTGTCAAGTTGTTTTTGGCATGAGTACAGTAAAATTACACCAATTCAGATTTTAGAATTTGATGGTAGATTAGAAAAGAGAAAATTGTTGAACATGATCATTTCAGTTAGAAAACAGACCCTTTTTGAACTCTCTATTACAACAAAAATCTGCATAATAATAATAATTTGACCATCAAAGATTCAAAGCCTATATACATCATCTTAAACCATGTGACTCCATGTGTGTGAAGAGTCTTACCAAATCTGACATCGGAGGCCTGGTGCATCATGGGTACTTTGATGGTGGTGCCGTCAGAGAGCAGAAAGGGGAGGTTTTGTGTGTGCGTGAAGACAAACTGTTTCTGCCACGTGCCTCTGAAGCTGACAGTGTTCACCAGCGCCATCTGTACCCGCGACGGCCACCAGGGGGAGTCAGAGGGCTGAGGGTCCCCAGAGCCTGAGAGCTCTCCACTGCTACTGCCTCCAGACAACGGCCATGGCTCATCTGAAAGCAGAGAGAGGAAGAGGAGGAATATAGGACTGCACGATATATCACAATATATACAACCTGACTGATCACAGAGCTAAGGCTGCAATGATTCAGTCAACAGCATGTCCTCTACAAAGAACAATGTACCCTCTTTTTAGTGAAAATCTTGTAGCTGTAGTTTATAGGATTCTTGTATTTGTTTTTCAGTTTGTATTTTAGTCTTCTCTCAAACTGATAAAAATTTCAATAATTTCCCTCCCAAATTGTGCAGCCAAAGTAATCTGTATAATTTACTGTATTTTCCGCACTATAGGGCGCTAAGGATTATAAAGCGCACTGTCCTAGAATGGTCTATTTTCGAACTTTTTTCACATATAAGCCGCACCGGACTATAAGGTGCATTAAACGAAACACAACAGTTGGATGGGTCAGTGGGACTTTGTTTGGTGCGTTCACGGTGACTCTGGGCTTTGTTCAGTTGTGGCGTGTAGGGAGGGTTCTGTCTGGGACCGCTGGATTGTTGCCGTGTTTGCAGTGACTCAGTTGCTCAGTTGTGTCTAGAAGTGGCACATTGCACTCTCTTTTCCGGTTCATTCCTTCGTTCCATTCCTCGTCCGCGTGGAGTGATGAGTGTGGCTGGGGGTGGTGCGGCTTTGTAGTTTACTGAAGTCGTGCTAGGACACTCGAGTGGATTCGTGTATAGGGTGCTCTGGATTGTAGGGGGCGCAGTCGTTTTTCTTATGGGGTTGGAGGATTATGAGTGCGCCCTATAGTGCGGAAAATACGGTAAATGAACGTTATAAAGAATGGACATTTGTCAAGTCACTTCAAGGTGCCCTGTGTAACTTTTCTGGTGAAGAGTCCTCCACATGCATGTCTCCATAGAGATGTTATTGCTTTGCCTGGAATACTCCACAGTATGGCATTGAATTTATCTTTTCCCATGAACACAAACTACAGGTCAAATCTGCGGAGCAGTGACCCCACTCACAGTAAGAAGTTTTGTTTCTCAATACAATAAATACAACTACATAATGCTCTACAGTGGAACATTACAGGCAAAGCAATACAAACCCATAGAGGCAAGCAGACGACAGGCCATCCACCAAAAAAGTGACTTAGTGTGCCTTTAGCCAACTATTTTGTGTGTATATGTGTATGTATGGTTACTTTCCTTCTCACTTTTCAATCAATCATACAAAGTGTTGCTAAGTCCCTTATAAACACAGCTACCCTAAGGCAGATGACGGAAATGTGAATGCAGTTCTGTGCCTATGTTTCTCCTTCCCATAATCACCCAGAATAATGTAAAGTGTATATGAAGAGAGTGATCGTGCCTGCGCTCACTGTATACCCAGAGTAATATTTGTGTATATGAAGAGAGTGATCGCGCCTGCGCTCGCTGTATACCCAGATTAATATTTGTGCATATTAAGAGACTGACCATGCCCACGCTCACTGTATGCTCAGAATAATATTTGTGTATTTGAAGAGACTGACCGTGCCTGCGCTCACTGTATGCTCAGAATAATATTTGTGCATATTAAGAGACTGACCGTGCCCACGCTCACTGTATGCTCAGAATAATATTTGTGTATATGAAGAGACTGACCGTGCCTGCGCTCCGGTCTGTCTCTCCTTGGGCTCTGGTTGAGGTTGGCTTGGACCACGTTGACGTTGAACCAGGAGGCTGCCGAGTGGAGGAAGTCTCTCTGTATGAGCACCGAGGAGTGGACGAGGAGAGAGCAGGTCTGCAGCAGCTTCACCCCCTCAGAGGAGTTCAGAGAGGAGCCAGAGAACAGCAGGAAGTCCCGGACATGAGGATCTGCGCACAGAACGAGCAAAAGATATCAGTTAACTGATATCTTTTGCCCTGGTATTGATAATTGGCAGCTGATGTCACGTAGAGTTGTTTGATGTCATACTGTGGAACATTCCAGTCAGAGCAGTGACATATCCATAAAAACAAGCAGGTGAAGGACCCCCCCAACCAAAAGTTACATACAGTAGTACACCTTTAAAGTAGAATGTAGAATGGTACAATTTCTGAATGGACATGGAGCTGCTGATGTCCATAGAACCAAGAGTGCTCACGAAAACGGTACAGTTCATTGAGTGAAAAAGAACAACATCAGCCACTCACTTACTTAGAAAATATTTAAAACATTAAAAACACAATGACGCATGTTGGCTTCTGCCTTCTTCAGGGTGTGATGCTCAAAGAGAGGTGAGGACTAATTTCATCTCAGGCTGTGTTTGCTAATGTGTGCACTATGTAACTATGGCAACTGCCTCCCAGCCTGACATCACTTCAAAGTATCAGTGGAAACTTGTCCACCTTCTTTTTTGCATATTTGAGTATTAAATACTATACTTTGTTTGACATAAGTAGATCATAATTTCACATTGAACTGCTGAACTGCACATTTGTACATTTGAACATTTTAAAAATAACATACTGCTTGTTTACATATTCTTAAAAGTGTAAAATACCCCACAACCATGCTGCTGTTGTTAATGAGATTATGGCTCCAGTCCTAGTACCAACTGCACTGACCAACAACAAATACTACTACTAGTACTACTACTCATACTGCTATTACTGCCACTGCTGCACTACTACTACCACTACTCCAAGTCTCTATCCATGTAAGTTCAATGACAATAACATGGTTTAACAAAAGGATAGTTGCCCAGTGAGTCCAGTGGCAGTGAAAGGCCACTGTGGTGAAACCTGTACCCACTGAGGGACTGAGCACATTTTCTTATGTTCTTCAAGTCTATTTTAACATTACATGAACCTATTCACAGGCTTCAGGCAAAGTGGAGTTATATATCAAAACCACAAAAGCGCTTCACTCTGCATTATTCATTCTCTCCACACTGTGTAGTGGTAAGATACTACTGCAGCTACAGCTGCACTGGGGCCGACTGACAGAAGTAAGCCTGCCAATCTGCACCATCACCCTCTCCCACATCCACACACCACTTTCATACTAGGCAAAGTGGTTGAAGCATCTTGCCTAAGGACACAACAACAGAACTTGGTCTGAGCGGGAATCGATCTCTCTTGGGCTAAGGGACCACCGGTCTAACCACTGAATCACTGTCGCACCACATAATCAAGCAGCCAGAGATGAACAATAAATAAATAAATCAACTCATCCAGTATTCTCACCTTGTACATTGTACCCGAGCGTCTCCTCCAGCTGAGCGAGTGTGTTCCCCCGAGCCCCGAGCTGCAGCAGGCCCAGAGACAGAGCCACAGACAGGGGGGATACGATCAGGTTGGTCTGGTTGAGGCCGGAGCTCACAGACTGGTACAGAGACAGGGAGAAGTGTGAGTGGAGGTCCCTCATGCCCTCCTGAAGACTGTCTGTGAGGGTCCCATCAAGGAGGAGGAAGAGGAGGACGGAGAGGAAGAGGAAGGAGAGGGGCAGGCGAGACATGTCCACAGGAAATAGTGTCTTATGCCCAGAGATCCGTCCAAGTCTGGCACAGAGAGCTAGATAGAGCAGAAACAACAAAGAAATATATTACTTATTATATAAAACTACATGGATAGATATAGGCCTACATATTAGCTCTTATTTAGTACAAGCAATACAGATGCAATATTATTTTAAATCATAATTTAAAAATATACTGTTCACTGCAAGAAGGTAGATGTCTCTTTGTCTCTATGAAGTTTTACTGTATGAAACCTGCTAACTCTATTTAAAGGTCCTATGTTACACAAAATTGACTCTTGTGAGCTTTTAAGCCATGTTAGAATGCTGTTACCTCCTCAAAAACATACCTGGAATTGTGTCATTCACACAGGTTTGAGTAATCCTTTATTATTAGTCTGTCTACATCTCCAAAGCTCATAATACTCTGTTCCACCTTGTGATGTCATGAAGTGGTAGTTTTCATGTTAACAGCAACATTTTACCTTTAGTTCAGTAGAGATTGGCCTTTCCAGGACTGAAATTATCCACATGATTCTAGTGAAGGTGTATGGAGTTTTAAAAACACAAAGGGGCACTTGCCTCTGTTACCACGTGACATCACAAGGTAGAACAGTGTTTCCTGCTTGAGAAAACAACTCTCCCTAAATATGCAGGATTTGTGTGTTAAACATGTGAATGGAACAAAACCCACTCCAGAGCCTATGTTTTTGATGAGGAAACATAACATAGATCAGAAAATAATATATGTAATTGAACTTCTACAAGCATGTTTTGAAATGCATGGAATTCTATTTTCTATATAATAACTTTATTGAGCCTCATTAGTGTGACTTTTCTGGTGGAGGGTTTGTTGAATGCTTTTCTTTATGAAGATGCTATTGCTTTGTCTGGAATGTTTCACAGTATGGCATTAAACATTTATATCTTCAAGGAGACCAAACCATGCCTCATTATAGGTTAGATCTGTGGAGAGGCGACCTCGCTCACAGTCAGAATGCCTGTTTTTCTGGGTATTTTTGAGCTATAAAACCACCTGTAATTGAATCAGTGTAGTAGATGTGTTCAGTGTCTTACTGTGGAACATTCCAAACAGAGCAGACACTACGAAAAAGTTCCAAACCATGTCTTAAACCTTACCGTATCTGTGGTGCTGTTAATCCAAAGCTGTATAAAGTCCTATGAGCCAGAGCAGGTGTCTTGGTTCAGATCCAGCTGTTTAGATCCACCTTTGCTTCTCCGGAAGATTGCGTCTGCTCTGTCCGCCTCCGGTCCACCGTCTCCGGGCTAAACTTTGTGCTCCAGTCCGCTCTCACTAAAACAACCTTCTCACTGAGTCATGGGACCGCGTTTTAAGGCTCGGTGTTGGGGATCTCTGTCGGCGATGTCCGTACCACCGCTGCGGAGCTCGGGGCTTTAGGACCAGGCGGAGCGAGGCTGTCACCGGCCGACACATCCCACCCATCCGTGAGCCCGGCGCGGACCCACGGCGCGGACGCACAAGTTTAGGTGAAAAATCAGAAACGGGGAAATATAGAAAGATTTGAAATATATACTACAAGTAGAGCTTGTCTACGATCGAGTCCTATTACACAAAAATGACTCTTGTGAGATTTAAGCCATAATAATTATTACTTCATCAAAAACATATCTGGAGTTGTGTTTTGTTTCATTCACACATTTTTGAGTAACTCTTTATTATTCCTCTGTCTACATCTCCAAACCCGAGAATGTTCTGTTCTGCCTTGTGATGTCATTTAGTGGTAGTTTTAAAGTTAACAGCTACCTTTTATGTTTAGTTCAGACCGTAAAGATTGGAAATTCCAAAAATTAAATTATCCAATCGATTCTAATGAAGTTGTATGGAGTCTAAAAACACAGTGAAGCACTTCCTGTATTACCACATGACATCACAGGGTGGAACAGAGTGAAGCCTAAATATGCAGGTATGTTTTTGATGTGGAAACAACATTATAACATAGATCAGAAAATAGCATAATAATGACCCTTTAAATTACAGATAAGATACGTCCTAACAGTTACTCTTTAAGTTACTCTTACTTGGAGCACTACTTTATACTTGAGTAGTATACTACTACATGAATAATATTATTTTTTGGCTATTCTAGCTATTCAGCTACCATTTTCAGATTAGTTTCCATATCTAACCAAATGTAATGTAAGATTTAAACAGTATTTATGAAAAAATCCACCCAAAAATTCCATTCCAACATTTGACCTAACCTGACCTCTGTAACAAACTGGCATCTTTTAATTAGGAGCAATCACCAAAATCAGGCCCGTTCCCATGAAGAGGGCCCAGGCTGTGTCCACGCTGTGTCCAGTGGATCCCTCCAGAACTGGACCAACGCTCCAATTAGCGCCTCATCAAATACATTCCTCCACCTCCACACGACGAGCTGGGCTTTTAACGTCCCAGCACATCACCCACAACAAAGACATTTTTGCTTTCATTACTGCGACCTGACCATCAGAAAAATCTGCATGTAAACAAGTTTAAGGTTCATTATGGAACATTTCTGGTGGAGAGTCTGCCACCTGTTTCTCTCCATGGCAATGTTATTGGTTTGCCTGGAATGTCAGTGAAAACACCTGTCATGAATGCCATACTGTGGAACATTTCTTAAAAAAAGCAATGACATCTCCAAGAACAAAGCTAGCAAAATTAACCCAATGTAATAATGACATTTTAAAGGGACAGTTCGGAATTTTGGACATAGGACCTCATTTCCTAGTGAGCCAGAGTGTTGGAGACGTGTGAAGACACTTTTTAAAATATTCCATCTAGTCCTTGTATTTGCAGAGGTCGCTGGTTCTAGGCTAGTGCATGTCAATGGCCATAGTTAGCCTGCTACTAAAAACAGTCTCACCCACTCCACAAAACACCCGAAGCAAATCTATTATTATGCCAGACTATCGATGTAAATGTCTGTGTTGATAGAATAATGTTTAAAATAAAACTAACCTTGCATCGCATGAATCGTCGCATGTTGAGGGACTATTTTCTCATTTATCAGTCCGCCACTGCCAAGCTTTTTATCAGGAAGTACAACTCGCTGCTGCTCAGACATAAATCCTTCAAATGCAAGGTTGGTTTTACTTCTAAAATTATTCTATCAACACAGACATTTACATCAACAGTGTGCCGTAATAATTGTTTTGCCTTGTGTGTTTTGTGGAGTGGGTAAGACTGTTTTTAGTGGCAGGATAACTATGGCCATTGACATGCACTAGACTAGAACATGCGACCTCTGCAAATACAAGGACTGAACGGAAGATTTAAAAAAGTGTCTCCACATGTCTCCAACACTCTGGCTCACTAGGAAATGAGGCCCTATGTCCAAAATTCTGAACTGCCCTTTAACTATGTAATAAGGTTGTTCTCATCATCATCATCATCATCATCATCATTTGTACTTCTTTTTTCAACTACTCTATGTTGAGGAAATCTCTCAATCCCAGCCCACTGCATATTCTTTGAAAAAGCAGACACCAGGTCATATATTCAACAGTGCTAATGTGAAATGCAAAATGTTATTACATAATACACTATGAAGAGGTGGTGTCTCTCAGCTGTGCATTTTTGAACAGGAAGTCATTGGATTTGTTTCTATTTTCAAGCAATATTAAGATTTACAATTAATGAAATGTATGGTCTAGTTTGCTTTGCCTTAAATGATCCATTACCAAGTTAAGGCAAGGTTCTTTCTGTGTGGAGTTTGCATGTTCTCACTGTGTTAGATGGGGTTCCTTAGGTCACTCTGGTCTCCCCCATCATCCCAAAACATGCACCGTATGTGTCATAACCAAGACTAGCTCAAGATCTGGAGATGGGTCCCACTGCTTCTGGCTGCGTTGAAGGGTAGGTCAAATGCAGAGGACACACAGAGTAAGAATACATATTTTTCGAGATATTCTGGAACATTCACTTATGGTGTAGTTTCATCAGTAGATCTAATAATAGTCTCCTAGTGGTGCCCCTTAAGTTGCAGGTTTGACCCAAACTTTGGTTCACTGCCACTGGGCCAGAACAAGGCCAAAATCAGACCCATAATCTCTCCAAAATAACACATGCTTTTGGGCACTTGTACTGAAGCTGTTTCTAACTTTTACTTTGGTAATTGTTGCATTGCATAATCCACCTTCAGCACTTACTTTAGGTGTTTTTATCTCCTCCATAATAAAAGTGCTCTACTACATTATTCATGTACTCCATATACTGACCAGGTTGAGGTAAGATACTTCTGAAACCACAGATGCTCTGGGACAGACTGATGGAAATGAGTCTGTCAAACCTCTCACCACGACCAGTCATTCACACAAAGCAAAGTGGGTGAAGTGTCTTGACTGAGCAGGAATCAAACCCTGTGACCTTCTGATGGGCGGGCGAGTGCTCCATCCACTGAGCCCCATTCTTCATTATCACCATTCATTATAACCTCAGTATAGACTTGAAAATAGAAGCAGGTGCATTGATTTCCTGTTGAAAACTGCGGAACTGAGAGGCCGCGTCACTTCATGGGGCATTTCAATGAAACAAGCAGCTGATTTTCACCATCAGTGTTTTGATTTTTTTAATGGTGATGCAGAAGTACCTTCAGTTAGTTCAGTGAGCATATTGTCTTCTTACATTGCAGTAAACATGAAACCTGATGCGATTACAGTCTTATTGATCAGGTGAAGAACTTAGGCCCTGTTGTTCTATACTTGTTTACACTGACCTGTGTTATCTTCTGGAGCGGGCGGGTGAGGGTGCGATGCCTGCGCCTTTCGCCTCTTGGCAGTAACTTAACGTAATCTCAAACTGTGGAACCTGTCCCCAGTCTCTCCATTCAGGACCTCTGTGACCTCTGACCTCAGGGCAGCCATTACCACTCTAAGACCAATGTATGGCTATATTGTAATGGGGCTGTTTCACAGTACACTTTATGGCAATACTTTAAACATGTGTGTGTGAGGGTGTGTGTGTGTGTGTACCCAGTATCTGGCCTGCCTCTAACACTAGTCTTACAATCAGCAACCTGAAGATCAAGAATTTGATTCCTGCTCCAAGCACTGTGAGTTGATGTTGTGTCTTTAAGCAAGACACTAAACTCACTTGTCTTATGTTTGAATGCTGTGTGTGAGTGAAATTAGCCATAGCACCCTGAGAATGCCAGATCTCACCTGATCTCTGAAGGTAAGCATGTTGGGGCAAATACGCAGATGGGAGACCACAGGGAATACCAGGTGTCACAGTGGGGCAGCAGTGGTTCTAGTGCATATTGTCATTGTGTCTTTGGGCAGGACATTTCACGCACCTTGAGTGAGAGTGCATTTGGGAGGGTAAATATAGGACAGCTGGTGAGTAAAACAAAATATATCCAGGATATTGACTTTCAGTAAAACTATTTTTCTGTGGATTTCTTCCATTTGTGGCTTTCAGATTTGAGAATGTGATGACGTCATACTCCTACCAGGGGCAAGAGCCACTTCTCCCTATTGATTAAATTGTGTTTTCATGACAAATAACCAAAAAGTAAACTCTCAAACATTGAACCTGATGATCTCTGTCAGCAACTAGATCCTAGAACCTGCTGCATAGCCACAAAAATCTGCATATTAACAATCACTTTTCCTGTCTCCATTTGTATTAAATAATAGTGGCCTATAGAGTGTTGTGATGTCATCTGCAACCCAACACCATTTCCAGAGTTCTTCTGTCTTCCTGCTGTACTGGTCATGTGCTGGTTCCTGGTTGTGGCCCATATCTGCGCGGCGTTCCCAGGCGGAGGCAGTGGAGTGTGGGGGATTAGAGGGACCGCAGAGGGGAGAGAGGAGCCGAACGAGGCGCCAGGTACAGAGCAGGATTACAGAGCCAGAGGAGCTGGTACTGCACAGGGGCGACATGAGCCGGAGAGCCCCACGCCAGAGCTCCCAGTCTGGGCACACATGTGGGAAAATGCCCCTGAGGAGATGGAGCATACCGTGCATATTTGTGAAGCAATGCAACATACCGGTGTATTACACTGTGTGTTATAGCTTAAAGTGCCGATGACATTACCAGTTTTCCCCAGTTTGGACATTTTTTAGCTTTCAAATTTTACTTCCTTGATGGAAATCATGACATCAGGGCATTCCATAACTGTAACCTAACAACCATACTGTACCACATGCTTGTTTCCATTGAGATGGACCCGCTTAATGCCATACTATGAAACATTGTTAGCATACTTAGAGCGCACCTTTAACTAGACCTAATAAAACATAAAGTACAACTGCCAAGATGTCCAAATGTGCTGTAATAAATCTTGTTTTTATTGCTCCATATCTTGAAAAACATTATCTTCAGTGTGAGCCAGGTTGCTGCTCCACAGATCTAACCTGTAATTTGCCCCAGTGGAGTTAACTGCTTCATGGAGATAACAGCAAAGACACTGATAAGTTCAATGCCATACTGTGGAATAGTCCAGGTAAACCAATAAAGTAAACATCAAGCAGGTTGTGGCTCTCTACCACAAAAGTGTATCTTTAATGTATGACCCCTATCCGAGTGAATACTTTGCTACTCTGTCTGAAGCTCTTTTACTCAAGTTTTACTCAAGCCATTAATCTGATCTTTTATTTTAACACAATCTGACCAAAAAGAGCTGACTTTGTTTGAACCACAATAGGTGAGATGATTTGTATGCTTAAGCTTTAGTCTCTCACACATACAATTACTTTTTTGTTAGTGTTTGCTATGTGCATTGTGTCACCATGGTAACTGCTTAACAGTCCACCACATAGATGCAAGTAGAACTCCACCAGCATGATGTCACTGCAAATGATCAATTGTACGTTGTTTGACTTGGTGTTGCTTAAATAACAAGAAAAAAATAACAAAATAACAGCACCTTTACATTTGCCAGCTCTTCTCTACAACTTGTTCTCCATCCTGAAACATTGGAGCCATAACAGCCCATTTTAAACACTATATTAGATTGGGGGTATATACATTTCCTGTATAATGCCTTCTCCAGACCCGTGCATGTTTAGCCGCTGGTCCACAGGGACCTAACTCAAACCAGGCTGAGATCCGATTGGTCCAGAATGACATCACCTCCTCCTCAGAGCTGGAGCAGAGTTGATTATGGCCAAACCAGAGTTACAGTGAAAGCATGGAGTTCCCCCGCTGTGGTTAAAAAGACCCCACAAGACGCTTCAAGGGCCTGTTCCTGATTTCAAAGTTGTCTTGTCATGATAAATGTTCTTTACATCATGGTTTTTTGTGGTTAAAGCTGCTAAATAAGAAAAAGTGTGACATGACATGAGCAAGCCTTCTTTTTTGAAAGGTTCCTTAATAACAGTTTTTAAATAATTATTATTGTAGTGCACATTTTACTTAAATTATGCATAATTTCTTTGCCACTCTCAGGACATTTTATATAGTATGTATTTACATTATATACTTTAACCAGAAAGTCAATGTATTACTCCAAAGCTAATTTCGAACACTAGAGGGCAGCATTGCACTTAATTCGTGACCTGGAGTTTTGTTTTATTGTTGTATTAAAGGTACACTATGTAACTTTTGGAGGGTCCACTACCTGCTTGTCTCCATGGAGCTGTTGTTGCTATGCCTAGAATGTCCTACAGTATGGCATTAAACTTATCTCCATGGAGCTTATTTATTTAACAGTAACTTTAATTATGATAAGAAGGTTACATTTAATCCTATACTGTGAAACATTCAGGCAAAGAAAAAATATTTCCATGGAGACAAGAAGCCCAAAAGTTTCTACTGTATGGACACAAAATTGATCATAATCAAAATGAAACTGAATCTCTGCAAATAGTAGCAATGATTCTTGTGTTATTTTAGAAGTTTATTTTTCAATTAAATCATTAAATTTAAAAGTCCTATTACAAAATGGATTCTTAGGAGCTTTAAACCATGTTATAAAAAAACATGTTATAAAACATACCTGGAGTTGTGTTTTGTTTCACACGTTTGACTAACCCATTATTATTAGTCTGTCTACATCTCCAAAGCTCAAAATGCTCTGTTCCACCTTGTGATGTCATCAAGCAGTAGTTTTCAAGTTAACAAATACCTCGAACTCAAAAGAGATTGTTAATTCCAGGGTTAAAATAATCGAAATGATTCTAGCGAACGTTTATGGAGTTTAAAAACACAGTAGAGCACTTGTTGTATTACCACATGACATCATAAGGTGGAGTTTTTTCAGTTTCAGGGAAGAACTCAGCCTAAATATACAGGGCCTGCGTATTAAACTCCAGCTATGTTTGTGATGAGGAAACGGATTATAATATAGATCAGAATGTTTCAATGGTGTACATTAAACCAAATTTTAATCTTGAAAATAAAATGATTTGTAAATCCAAAATTACAACTGAAATACTTGATCCCAAAGTTGTAACTGTGCTATTCGTTTGAGTGCTTCATTTGCCACATAGACATCTCGTTTTTACTCCAAATCAAAGCTGGGGTTGTTGTTTGGTCGGATCAAAATAACAGGGGAAATCAAACTCTCTGTAATTAAACAAAACCACTGGATTCCTGCTTTGAATTCGAACCGCCCCAGTTTAAAACATTTTAGACTTTCTCATTCACTGCACAATAACAAGGCAAACCAAGGCTCGGATCAAAATGGACTGGTGACTTTGGCATTAAAACACATTTTCAACAGTTCTTTTTTTTTAAAATGGGCACTATGTAACCTTTCTGCCACCCTAGAATTTTTCTGGAATGTTCTGCAGCATGGCATTACACTTGTCTATCTTGCATTCATTCAATAACCGCTCAAAAACAGCTTGAAAAAACATGCATTCTTACCGTGACTGGGGTCGTCTCTCCATAGATCTGACCCGTAACTTGGACTAGTGAAACAGGTGGCAGGCCCTCCAACAGAAAAAGTTGTTTGTATATCTGTAGAATTCAGTAACATGGATCGTTTTGAGGGCAGTTTTTATGACTTTACAGTCGAAAATAGTCACTGGGCATGCTCTTCTGTGACCTTTTTCAAACCAATAAAATGTAAAAAATGTCTCCCTCTTTTTTATTTTCATCCCTAAAAAATCAAAAACAAAACACAGTTCAACATCAGGGCAAAATTAAATATTCTTTTTATTATACCGTGCATCTGTACATATATGTGGATACTGTGATTTTAACATAAGACTCTGTACACAAGTCTGACTTATATCTATATGCAAAATACATACACTATTTACAAAAAAACCCAAAAAACATGTGGATAGGTGCAGTATTTACAGAGATATGAACCATAAAGCAGAACAACAATATGACGCTAGCTAGCTTACTGTGTACCAAAGCTAACAGTCACTTTTATTAAAATCATAAAATGTGAAAAAACAACCAATTACATTTTTTTATGTATTAAAGTAAAGACTATCCATTGTTTTCATGTGTAGTTTGTATCGATGTAATAATATCCAAATGTCACGGTACTATATTTATTGCGATATTTTGGCTAATAGGCTAAAATAATTGTAGATGGGACACTTTTTTGCTTTTAAAATACCTTCACAAGATTTTAGTGTGAATTATTTCTGTCATAATCCCAAGAATTCAAGTAAAAAACATATATCTTCATGTTGTTTGTGCTGAAATGGATCAAGGGATATGTAGTTTCCAATGTTCATAAGCTGTTGCTACTATAAAACCATGAATTTAAGCAAAGGAACTTGTAATTTGATATACTGTGGCAGTCCACGATACTATTGTGAGACTTTTGATGATACGATATCACAATATTGCCGTTATTGTTACATCCCTGGTAGTTTGTGGTATTGTTTTAACATGTATTATGCCTTAAAATTAGCATTAGCATTGAGACATAAACGTCTCTCTTTCTCAACACAGAAGTATTGATTTCATTTGGGTACTTTTTAACATTTAACAACATTGTCATCCACCCACAACTCCCTGTCCAATGCCTTATCTTTAAATATGTATAAATTTTAGTACAACTTGACAAAAGCCCCATACATATACATACAATTAGACAGGAAGTAGTGACGCTAACAGTGTGATTGCCGAGACACAGAGCCTATCCTCCTGCTCTGTTTCAAATACAGTATACAGATTTTACAACATTGTGATGTTATGAGAACGCAGTTTATAATACAACTTACTGAACTGAACAAAATGCAAATACACACATGTCATTTAAAGCTAAAATAAGTAATATTTTTATCTTATTACTCATTGTCCCTGTAATGGTTAAATGTGTATTCTGGGGTGTTTGAAGCATCTGTTGTCTCTAATTAACTGTCTTTTTTATTATCTGTCAATGCTATATGATTTAATTTTTTTTTTAAAGAGAGAAGAAAGATTGAAAGACTCTTTATTTTTGAAAATAGCTTAGTTCTACTTTTTTTTTTTTTTTAAACTATAATTTTTTCACCAGTAGATGGCAGATGACAAACCTGTTCCCATTCCCTCACCTGGACAGCATCTCATTTCCCTTTCCTCGCTTCCTTCCCCTTGTCTCTTCTCCTCGATTCTTCAGGAAATGGGTGAGGAAGTCCCACCCACAGAGGAGACAAAGTGAGGAGAGGATATAAACTCCTCACTAAGACCGATAAAGTTTGATTCTTTTTTCTGATGTCTGCTCCTGAAGCCTCCCTCAGGTTTACTCTCTCCTTCCATGGTTTGCTTTGGGACAACACTTAATATGATTGATAGGCAGCTGAAAAATGGAGAATTGAGGAGAGGAATCAAGGCGAAGGAAGCGAAAAAAGAGAAATGAAACACGGCCCTACGCTCTCTGGTCTTCTTCTGTCTCTTCATCTAGTGGTGATATGTGAGAATGTAACAGGGGAGAGTCGGCCAATCTAATTCCAGATGGTAGCTTTAACACACATGAATGCCCTGTCCACACTATCCTGAAACATAAGACAGGTTATTATAGTTCTCAAATTTTGTCTTAATTTGGTGAGACTGTAACTTTTCTAAATATAAATTATAGTTTTACACCAATCAAGAAGCAATTTGCAAAGAAAAGTTGAAAAATATGTTGAACTACACGAAGTAGAGAGTTCTAAAATGTATGCACAATTCACACATATGAAACACATTTTCCTGATACTTTAAACATGATTTCAACAAAATAAAGGTGTCTTCTTATTTGTATTTATCAGATAAAAATTTTGTTATGGACTTCCCTAGTACGATGTCACAATGTCCAAGCCAGGTTAGCGCCACCTAGTGCCTCTGCTCAATTTTATTTAATTTCACTAGGTCAGGAATCAAAATACACTAGACAGTTCGCAAAAACCCTGGAAGTGCGAGTTCAGGCACCAGCCAATCAGCGAAGAGTCATACATTCAGTGTTGTCAAGGATTCCGATTCGAGGATTTAAAGCCGGAGAATGTTTGGTGGATTTTATCAAGGGGAAAGACGTTATTGCCCTTCTTCCTACAGGATTTGGGAAAAGCTTAATACACCAGTTAGCCCTGTTATATAGGTCACGACCAAATAGCAGCAATTGGTTAAATTTTAAAAGGTACCACCTACCGTCGAGCGAACGAATTCTAATGCTGTGAGGTCAGGCGGTTTCCACGAGGTGAAACCGGCTGATGAATCAGGCTAACGATTTTCAACCACCAAGTGAAATTTTAAACCTAAAAAAATGGCCAAACTGGGGAAACAAGTGTGAATGTTTTTGCAAAAATCTTAAATATAACGATCTTAACTGTGTTTTAGTGAAATGAGTAGTTTAACCTGTCATAGGCACTTTAAATATAAAACTCCTCTTCTTCTATCTTGTCGTCGTCGATGCTGCAGTTATCAGAATGGTTTATGGACACACTGCTCACTGAGGGCGTCGTGCTTATATCCAGACCGGCTTGTCCCAACAACATCCCAAAACTACTACTACTACTGCATTTCCCATTCACAACCATACTGTTTGACCGATTCACGCCACTCCTGCCTCCTATTGTAGCTGCCTTGTACGTAACATTAACATCTGGTATACTCGGAGATCTTGATGGGACAAGTTCTTCAGGAGGAGCAGAGACTGGTCTTCCATTTAAGTTCAGTCCAGCTTGAATGTACGCCGAAACTACTGATAAATCCATTGCTACTTTGTCTCCTGTATCTACGTCTGTCTCTTCCGCACCAATCAGAGCATCAACGTTTAAGCGGAAAGGCGGGACTAGTGAATACGCCTCACTAGAAGTTGTTTTTGGGAGGTTTTTGCGATGCTGATTGCGAGATAGGTCCAGAGAATGAGTAGAGGTTATGTTTGGGAGGGAGAATAGTGATCCGGAATGGTTGTTTTTCAGTTCTTCCGTGTATTGATCCATGTATCTGTGCTCGGACCATTCGTCGTTGGGGTTGAGATAGTCGTAGGCCAAAGGGATGGACATTTGTGAAGTTTGCAGGCCTCTAGAATGCAGGGAAGCGGAGCGGTTGGGGTGTCGGCGGTGGTGGTGGTGGTTGTGGTGATGGTGGTGCCTGTAGGGGGCGCTGTGGCGGGTGAAGGTAGAAGGAGCAGACGTGGATTCGTGGTGAGGGAAAGAAGAGTCGGTGTGTCGATGTTTGAAGAGAGGAGCCTGAACCTGTGGAATAAGGAGAGAAAAAATAAGAGTAAGTAAAAGTAGTAACAGTAGTAGTAGTAGTAATAGTAGTAGTAGTAGTAGTGAAGTAGTAACAATGCATCTTTACGTAGCTGTTTTCTCCATGCATTCAAATAGAGCTGGGGAATGTGTAAAAGATTATTCAACATTTTTCTCATTACAGATTTTCAATTGGATTTTTTTTTCAAACAAAAATCTATTTTTTAAATCCTATTTTCACCCAGCGTGAAGCCCTTTAACACAAGTTAAAGTTACAGTTCGGAACTGTGGACATAGGACCTCATTTCCCAGTGAGCCAGAGTCTTGGAGACGTGTGGAGACACTTTTCTAAAAATTCCTTCCAGTCCTTGTATTTACAGAGGTCGCTGGTGCTAGGCTAGTGTATGTCTATGGCCATAGTTATCCTGCCACTAAAAACAGTCTTACCCACTCCAATAACTCCCTCGAAGCAAATCTATTATTACACCAAACAGTTGATGCAAATGTCTGTGTTGACAGAATAATGTTTGAAATAAAACTAACCTTGCATCACATGAATCGTCACATGTTGAGGGACTATTTTCTCATATCTCAGTCCATTGCTGCCAAGATTTCTATCAGTACAACTCACTGCTGCTGCTCAGACATAAATCCTTCAAATGCAAGGTTGGTTTTACTTCTAAAATTACTCTATCGACACAGACATTCACATAGACTGTCTAGGGTTGTAATTGTTTTGCTTTAGGTGTTTTGTGGAGTAGGTAAGACTGTTTTTAGTGGCAAGCTAACTATGGCCATTGACATGCACTAGCCTTGCACCAGCGACCTCTGCAAATACAAAGACTGAATGGAATATTTTAAAAAGTGCCTCCACATGTCTCCAACACTCTGGCTCACTAGGAAATGAGATCCTATGTCTAAAATTCCGAACTGTCCATTTAAGCAAGGTCAGGCCTAGTTAGTACTTGAATGGGAGACCTCATGGAATAACAGGTGCAATTGTGGAATGAATATAGCAAAAATGTTGATATTTTCTTAGGCAAGACAGTCCACCTACCTTGTCTAGTATGAATGTGGTGTGTGTGACGGAAATTTATATTGTGGAAAGATTTCTCTCAATCTGTCTTTGTGTGAATGGATGTGATTTCTATCCAATCTCCACAGGAAAAATACTGATTATGATTAATTAATTAAAATAATTAAAATAATAATTAATTAAAATAGTGATGAGTTTATCCTATAGAAACACATTGGTCTTGAAACTAAAAGTCCTTCGGTTTTGGTTTGGTAGTTAACGTTAAAGTTAGAAAGACCCTTCAATGTAAACACTCCTGTTCCCTTTTGCTTGCTGATCTTGTCAGGATGTGACAAATGTGTGAATATGGAGGCAAATCAGATCAAGCACATCTGGCCACACCTCAGTAGGAATTGTCACCTTCTCAGTTTGAAAAGTATGTCCTCTGGTCATCTCAGGCTAAATAAACTTTGTAACATTCGGGGTCAAATAGAGTAGGGACATACTGCTGGTTGAGAGAGGCTGTTGGTCTGTGGCCAGGGCAGGTCTAGGCCCTGTCCATAACTGCTGTAACAAGAATAAACCTTTGCCTATATTCCAAAAACTCACCAGGCTTTGCAAATAGATTAATTATTTTTTCACAACAGCTACAACAGCAGGTTACCACCACTAAGTGTGGAGTGAATGAATAATAAAATGTTAAGTGTTTTGTGTCTCTTGAAAGGCACAAAATAAATCCAATGCATTATTATTATTATTTTAGGGCATGTGCATGGCTTTAGAACATTTCTTTCCAGATGTCAAAGTGGAACACAGTGCTGCTTTTGGCACTTACTTGGGACTTACCAGGTTGGAGAGAAATAAAAATACTTTACTGTTAACTCCAGACAGAGCACATCAATCTCATTTTGTCACAAAGTGCTGCCCTAACAAAATACTCTGGGAAAAACACACCATTTACTCAGGTACCACAGCTTTAATGATAAGATTCATGAACTCCTCTCCAAATCTCATACTATGGATTAGCTGATAGATCATGAGAATCAAATGTCATTTTGCATTTGTGCAGTGTAAAAAGCTCCAGTCTCAAGTTGAAGTTCAGTCCGGGGTGTTAGTGGGTGAAGGGTTGTTTCGTGTTTGTCTCTTTAGGGTCAAGTCTCTCTTTGACCTGGATTATCTGAGACCAGGCTTTAAGATCTGGCTCTGATCTTCCCCATGTCAACAGCCTCATTACACACAACCCCCTGCTGCCCCCCCCCCCCACACACACACACACACACACCCCAACACACACACACTACACTACCCAGAACCCCCTGCTGTGTGCCTCTGAACCATAGTTACTGTGGAAAAAAGGCTGACTCCATCATAACAAATTAAAAGGAGATCTATAGTAATTTGTAGAAATGGTCAAAAGTTTGTGTAGTTGTAGCCAATATGATATTTGTCTCGCTGTTTATTTCAATATTTAGATTTTGAAATCCTTAGAAAATTTGACAAAAAATTATTTAAAGGTCCTATATTACACAAAATTGACTCTTGTGAGCACTAAGACATGTTAGAATGCTGTTACCTCCTCAAAAACATACCTGGACTTGTGTTTTGTTTCATTCACCCATGTTTGAGTAATCCTTTATTAGTCTGTCTACATCTCCAAAGCCCAGAATGTTCTGTTCCACCTTGAGATGTCATGAAGCGGTAGTTTTCAAGTTAACAGCTGCATTTGACCTTTAGTTCAGTAAAAAAAAAGTCATTTCCAGAGCTCAACTGATCCAAATGATTCTAGTAAAGGTGTACGGAGTTTAAAAACACAGTGGAGCACTTCCTGTATTACCCCCATGACATCACAAGGTGGAACAGAGTGTTTTCTGTCTGAGAGAAGAACAGGGTTTGTGTTTTAACCAGACCGGGACCAGATCAGGACTGAGACCAGAACTGAGATCGGAACCAAAGCAGGAGCAGGACTGAGACCGGGAACAGACCAGGACCAGGACTGAGACTGGGACTGAGACCAGGGCCAGACCAGAACTGAGACCAGGACTGAGACCGGGACCAGGACCAGGACTGAGACCAGGACTGAGACGGGGACCAGACTGGGACCAGACCAGGACTGAGACCGTGACAAGACCGGGACTGCGACTGGGACTGAGACCGGGACTGAGACAGGACCAGACCAGAACTGAGACCAGGACTGTGACCGGGACCAGGACCAGGACTGACACCGGGACCAGGACCAGGACTGAGACCAGGACCAGACCGGGACCAGGACCAGGACTGAGACCAGGACCAGACTTGGACCAAACCGGGACTGAGACCAGGACTGAGACCAGGACTGAAACCAGTTTAATTCTGGTTTAGTCCTGGTTTAGTCCTGGTTCAGTCCGTATGCGGTGCAGAAGTCTGGCATCTCAGTTGAAGTCATCATCCGTTTGTTCCATTATTCATTTAAACACAAAATCGAAAACTGAAAAAAACGAATCATCTGTTTTTTCATTTTGGTTTTGGAGACAAATAATGAAGAAAATAGTTGCTTTTCATTTTCTTATTTTTGGTTTTATTATGAAAAACGAATGAACGAATGATGCCTGGATTCTCCTCTCACATATAGATCACTGACTAAATTGTAACTGCATACTATTTACAGGGTGAGGGTTCAATTCTTGAGCCAGTGCATGCTCTCTCTGTGTGACTGTGGCAGAGTGGTTATCCTGTCTCAGTAAGAAAGTTGTGGGTTAGACTCCTGATCTCTCTTTTTTACAAGTAGAAAATTACCTATACTTTGGTCTTGATGTTTACTACAGCGGTGCATGTGAAAATGTTCTGTTTTGGTTTTCTGTTTAAAAATGAACTATGATTATGTTGAAAATTACAGACTCGAAAGAAGGCGACAATATTCAAGTCTGGTTTCTTCTGCGTAGGAGGGACAAAACCTCTTCATGCGTGAGAGACGGGTCAGATAGAGGAGACGAGAGGGTCAGATGGATCAGAGGAGAGGGTCAGAAGGAGAAGTGGAGAGGGTCAGATGGAGCAGAGGAGGGGGTTAGAAGGAGCAGTGGAGAGGGTCAGATGGAGCAGTGGAGAGGGTTAGATGGAGCAGTGGAGAGGGTCAGATGGATCAGAGGAGAGGGTCAGATGGATCAGAGGAGAGGGTCAGATGGAGTAGAGGAGAGGGTTAGATGGAGCAGTGGAGAGGGTCAGATGGAGTAGAGGAGAGGGTCAGATGGAGCAGTGGAGAGGGTTAGATGGAGCAGTGGAGAGGGTTAGATGGAGCAGAGGAGAGGGTCAGATGGATCAGAGGAGAGGGTTAGATGGATCAGAGGAGAGGGTCAGATGGATCAGAGGAGAGGGTTAGATGGATCAGAGGAGAGGGCCAGAAGGAGCAGAGGAGAGGGTCCGATGGAGTCGAGGAGAGGGTCAGATGGAGTAGACGAGAGAAGGAGGTCAGATGGAGCAGAGGAGAGGATTCACTGTTGTTGTAATTGTAGTTAGAATAAACCCTCTTTAACAGGACCAGGTGGTATAAAGCCAGCTGCATCTGTCTATTGTCAGGTTAGATAACAGTATCAGTATTGGTCCAATCTCAGTAATGGACACAGAGTAATCAGATTACACTTTCAGAGGCTTGACTCCTCACTGCTCCTCTGTGAAACTGATACTTACAAACCAGAGACACGAGCAGATTGCTGTAATCCTGTTCCTCTTAATTATAATGCGCAATAGTCTAATCCTCCAGCTAGTTAGTCCTGGTCCGAGATCAGATGGGCCCCTGGGTGCTCTGCCAATACACCCATAGCTCCTGACAGCACCGGTTGAAGGATGGGTCAAATGCGAAGAACATGTCTAATGTTAAAGGTGCTCTAAGTAACTTTTCTGGTAGAGGGCCCATAGTATTGCTTTGCTTTGCCTCTATTATGCATTTATTCAGATGTTTTTAATAGGGGTGTCACAATATCCAAGTCTCACGATATTGTCACGGTATGAACCTCACGGTACAATATTTATTGCGATATCACGGGAAAGCTCACGATATGGTGGGGAGGCTCACGATTAGGGATGTAACAATATCCAAATCTCTAGGTACGATATTTTCACGATATACATCTCACAGTATGATATTTATTGCGATATTTTGTGGAGGCTAACAAAACTGTTAATATGCTCCATTTTCCTCTTAAAATGCCTTGACAAGACTTAATCCAAAGAACTAAGACTTAAAAGTGCTTAGAATTGTTATTTCTTTTTGTAGTCTGCACTGAAATGGAGCAAAGGATCATGGTCAATGTAGTTCCCTCTGTCTTTTTTTAGCTATTACTGCACCATAACTCTTAATTTAAACAAAGAGACTTGTAATTCCATATATTGTGATGGTCCACGATATTACTGTAAGAATTTTGACAATACAATATCACAGTATTTCTGTTATTGTTACATCCGTTGTTTTTAATTGTAAATGGTCATGGTAAATGATCACAGTTGTAAATAGCGCAGCAATATAGCAATATAGCAAGACACACAAGGTCATTACATCAAGGCTCGCCCATTCACACACACATTGATACATCAGTGTACACAGACACCAGGGGTGAGGGGGGTAAGTGTTTTGCCCAAGGACACAACAACGACATTCATCTGTGGAAGCTTGAACTGCAACACCAACCTGTGGGTCACTGGATCTGATAGTTTTCCAATCTTTATGCTGAGAGTATGAATGTGGTGTGTGAGTGTAGGTGGTCAGAGGGACCAGGCAGCAGTGGCTACAATAACTTATGGAGTGAATCAATAATAGATAAAACTGAGTGTCTGGAAAGCACTTTGAAAGACTAATGTGTAGTTATTATCCCTCTTATTATCCCTCTTACCTGGAGCAGTATCTTGTTGCCGTCGTAGTCTTGCGTTTGCCAGCGCAGGTCACTGATGGGTCTGCACGTGTGGGGGAGGAGAGGTACCAGCGCCCCCACGTCCCTCACTCTGATCTCCAACAGAGAAGAGTCCAAGACCAAAGGAGCCTGGCCTTTCTGGAGCCTCTTAAACGACAACTGAATCTCCAAATCTGCGTTGGAATACACCACGAAAAAACAAAAATCCTCCTTCTTTTGAGCAACTCGCTTTTGTAGCAACAGTTTGTACAGCCTCACCATGTCAATATAGTTTTCATATCGACAGTAAAATGTGAATCGGACTATTTCTTTGCCGTAGTGGACTTGTCTCACCGCCCATAAAGGAGTCCCGGGTGTCAGAGTGAAGAAATCCTGGCTACTCGGAGTTAGCGGGAGCATCCGTTTGCCGTTGCTGACTTTTTCTGTGTGATGGTAACGCCACGGTGGTCTTTGCAAAGCGCGATGTAACGATAAAATATGCTCCTCGCCCCCGTAGGATTCTTGGAGGAAGAGGATGACGGCTAAAGCGGGCTGGGAGGTGGGGTTCGGGGGTCTTTTTTTGGAACGGTGGGCACGTTCGGAGACGCGGAAAAGCTGCAGGTCCGGGTGTATCCAGGAGAGGGCGGCGTCCGTGGCGTGCTGGAGGAAGCTGCCCTGGTCCGGGTCTGCGATGAGGTGAACGCTGACCAAATACGGGTCCTGGAGGTCGGCCATCAAGTCTGCGCCGTTTACTAAAAAAGAGAGAGAAGAGAATGAGAAGAGAGAGAATGTACAGAGAGAGAGGGAGAGGAAGGTGAAGAGACAAGAGAGACAGAGAGGAGAGCGAGAGCAAAAGAGAGGGATAGAGAGAAGAGAGAGAGAGGCGGTGGAGAAAGAGAGAAGAGTGACAGAGGGAGAGGTGAGGGAAAGAGAAGAGAGAAAGAGAGACAGAGAGTGAGAGGAGAGAGAGAGAGAAAGAGAAAATGTACAGAGAGGGAGAGAGAGGAAGAGAGAGAGGGAAAGAGGGAGGTGAAGAGAGCAGGGAAGAGAAGAAGAGAGAGAAAGAGGAGAGCGAGAGCAGAAGAGAGGGATAGAGAGAGAGAAAAGAGAGATGCAGTAGAGAAAGAGAGAAGAGTGACAGAGGGAGAGGGGAGGGAAAGAGAAGAGAGGAAGAGAGACAAAGAGAGTGAGAGAAAAGAGAGAGAGGGAAGAGAGAAAGAAGAGAGAGAGCAGCGGAGAGGGAGGGAGTGAAAGGAAGAAAGAGCGGGTTAGGAGGAGAAAGAGAAGAGAGAAAGGAGAGGAAGACAGAGTTCCATTCAGTTTATTTGCACTTTGCAATTTAAAAACATATTGGAAAGTATGTGCAGAAATCTAAGAAATCGCCCTCTATAACATAAAAAAACAAAAACTAAAATAGCTAAAAACATTGATGACACTGTGTTAATACATAAACAAAAAAAGATAAGAGCTTATGGAAAAATAGAAGAGAAGAGAGATAAAGAGAAGGTTAAAAAGGCTTGAGTATAGAACAATAAAAAAAACAGCAACAACATAAAACCTGAAAGTCTTGCAACAGTTTAAAAAGTAGGAATCTGTTCAGAGGCGGAGATTTACAGTAGTAATTAAAACAAGACTGTCACTTTGCTCATTTTGCAGCTGATGTATACTACCACTATCCACTTTCCCACCGCTTTTTCTCCCAGAATCCATTGCGTTTTACGATAGAGTACTGTTTACTATAACAACAGTAAAATACTATTGGAATTTGGCCGTTAATTTACACCAAAGTCTAACAGTGTGTACAATGTAAACAGCTTTAGAAGCATTAACACAGGAGAGAAGACTGAAATATGAACTGATACTGAGCTCAAGAATCACATTTATTTAACCTCTAACATGTTTGTAGAGGTCTGAACTACAAGTAGAAGTACATCTAAATACTTGTAGTTTGCAGCAGTTTTTGACATAAAGCAGTGACTATCATACCTGTGCAGTAGCTCAGAGTGCTATAAATGTCTTTACAACAAACACAAGGATACCTGCTCTATCAGTTAGCATAAATTTTTGCCTTCTCATTAAAATACCCCACAGGTTTTCTATGCGTGCCCCATTTTTTTTTTTTTAGTTTGAGCCCTTGATGATCTGTGCATGGCCGTGACTCTTTCAATTCAATTTTCAATTCAGATGCAGTATATATAGATAAGGCAGATAATCCTTTATTGAATCCCATGGGAGAAATTTGTCTTGGGACAGACACATGCTTTAACACCAAGACAACAAAGCAACATACGCACCAGACAAACATCCACCATAGAACATAAATAAATAAGAGACTAAGTATGACTGTGAGGCACCAACAGGACCTTTAAGTCACTTGATACAGGCAAGCTCTTCACAGTCTTGTATTCTATTATTAACTGCACACTCCGCTAAGCCTATGTGCAGTTTTGATTGCACATTCCCTTGATCTATGTGCAGTTTTGATTGCACATTCCCTTGGCCTATGTGCAGTTTTGATTGCACATTCCCTTGGACTATGTGCAGTTTTGATTGCATATCAGTTTTGATTGCACATTCCATTGGTCTGTGTGCAGTTTTGATTGAACGTTCCCTTGACCTTTGTGCAGTTTTGATTGCACATTCCCTTGGCCTATGTGCAGTTTTGATTGCACGTCAGTTTTGATTGCACATTTCCTTGGTCTATCAACAGGTTTGATTGCACATTCCCTTGACTTATGTGCAGTTTTGATTGCACATTCCCTTGGACTATGTGCAGTTTTGATTGCATATCAGTTTTGATTGCACATTCCATTGGTCTGTGTGCAGTTTTGATTGAACGTTCCCTTGGCCTATGTGCAGTTTTGATTGCACGTCAGTTTTGATTGCACATTTCCTTGGTCTATCAACAGGATTTGATTGCACATTCCCTTGACTTATGTGCAGTTTTGATTGCACATTCCCTTGACATATGTGTAGTTTTGATTGCACATTCCCTTGGCATATGTGCAGTTTTGATTGCATATTCCCTAAGAATGTTTGAATCTGTTCAGTTTGCAGTTTGACTCTGTACCTTCTGCCTGATGGCATCAACTCAAACTGACTGTGAAGAACATGGTCTGGGTTACTCTCCACCTTCATAGTGCAGTCATAGCTCCAGACAAACTCTACAAGAACAGAGATGTGACGATAACTGATCTTATGATATTACATTCAATAATGTCATGAACAGGAGAATGGTTTTGTTGCAGAGGAAACAGTTGGTCCCAAGGCTCCAAAAACTCAACTCTGCTCCAGACCACATGTTTGACTGACAGAGGCTACAGAGGTCCATTAAAAACACCCAGGCAGATCACTGATGATTAAAAATAACACGATCATTGTTAAAACAAAACCACTTGCACAGTGCTTTTCCACAGTTGTTTTCTCTGGTCCTGGTGAGCTACAGTAGCCGTGTTTATTTCCCTGTCTCTCTCTGGCCTCATTAATCGCATTAGATCTGTGTTACTGGAGCCTATTCAGGTGAAAGAAAGACTGCCCCTAATCTACTGACCCGGAAACTCCATAGGGTCTCTGCAGCCAAAATACAAACAGGTGACTACAACCAAACCAATGGGCCACGAGAATGAAGGGTTACATTTACTACCTTACAGACACACCAAATAATGGATAAAGAAATTAGATTAATATTAGAGTTTTAAAATTTGACAAAAAATGAATACGAAAATCCAAACCAACAAATAAAAACATAAATTTAAAATCTTTATAATAATTGCTAAATACTTCTGGACCTGGAATTTTGTCCTGGAATTGTTGACTTGTTTAAATATCACAAATATCACAAGTATCACAACAGAACTTCTGCACATTGCATTGGGTTTGTGACGTTGTAGTGCATTGTTTTCTATCATGGTGTTGTGGTGTATATTTATGGAGAATTGCTGTGCAGGAGCATGGATGACAGGCTTGTGGACTGAGCATTATGCAGGCTAGTATTGCGATCTGCTAAGGAGAGTTTGAATATGGCCCAGGAAAGATCGCTAGATTTCTCAAACATGCATGGATGACATCTAAAACCTGTTCAGGAATCTTTTTGATAAGGGAACAACTTCATAACACACTAACACACTCTATATTACACTAAATTGACTCTTGTGAGCTTTAAACCATGTTAGAATGTTGTTTCCTCATCGAAAAAAACCCAAAGTTGTGCTTCGTTTCATTGTATGTTTAAGTAAACCTTTATTATTAGTTTGTCTAGACCTCCAAAGCTCAAAATGCTCTGTTCCACCTTGTGATGTCATCAAACGGTTTAAAGTTAACAGCTACTGTTGCCATTTGTTCAGTAGAAATGGGCAAGTCCAGGGCTGAAATGATCCAAATGATTCTAGTGAAGGTGTATGGAGTTTAAAAATACTGTGGAGCACTTCCTGTATTACCACATGACATCACAAGGAGTGTTTTCTGTTTGAGAGAATAACTCATCTTAAATATGCGCAGGGTTTTTGTGTTAAATAAAACACAACTCCAGGTATGTTTGTGATGAGGAAACATAACATAGATCAGAAAATAACGTAACTACTAACTACATATTTCTTCATATCAGTATTAATATTCTGAATTCCACTGATGTAGCAGTGTCTGTAGCCCCACAGCACACTCAGCCTTTGTCCAGTCTGGAGCAAGGGCCCAGGAGCTGCTGACTATCCCCGAAACAGAGCGGCCTCTCTGGGACAGACCCGGCCGGCTCCCTGGGGGAACTCTGGCCTTTAGAGAAAGGACTCGTCTTATCTGGAACCAAAGGGTGACATTTGGGAAAGGTTAAGCTCTGGTTACACTAACACTGTGAAGAGAGAATATTCCAGGTGTTTCCAGACTGTCTGCTACGTGACAAGGTTACATAACGGAGTTTATCATTTAAAGGACCCATGTTACGCCATTTCCTGATCTATGCTAAAATGTTTCCTCATCACAAGCATACCTGGTTTATGTTTTGTTCATTCAGAAGTTTAACACACAAACCCTGCATATATAGAATGAGTTCTTTTCTCAAACAGAAACCACTCCGTTTCACATTGTGATGTCATGTGGTGGTACAGGAGGTGCTCCACAGTGTTTTCAAACTCCATACACCATCACTAGAATCATCTGGATGATTTCAGCTTTGGAATTGCCAATTTCTACTGAACTAAAGGTAAAAGGAGCTGGAAATTTGGAAATTACCGACTAATAATAAAGGATTACTCAATGTGTGAATGATTAAAAAAAAACACACACAAGCCTCAAGTGGAGGAGTTCAAGTATCTCGGGGTCTTGTTCACGAGTGAGGGAAGGACGGAACGTGAGATTGACAGGCGGAATCGGTGCAGCTTCGGCAGTGATGCGGTCGCTGTATCGGACTGTTGTGGTGAAGAGGGAGCTGAGCCGAAAGGCGAAGCTCTCGATTTACCGGTCAGTCTTCGTTCCTACTCTCACCTATGGTCATGAGCTCTGGGTAGTGACCGAAAGGACGAGATCGTGGATACAAGCGCTTGAAATGGGTTTCCTCCACAGGGTGGCTGGGCGCTCCCTTAGAGATAGGGTGAGGAGCTCAGTCACACGGGAGGAGCTCGGAGTAGAGCCGCTGCTCCTCCACGTCGAGAGGAGCCAGCTGAGGTGGCTCGGGCATCTGTTTCGGATGCCTCCTGGGCGCCTCCCTCGGGAGGTGTTCCGGGCATGTCCCACCGGGAGGAGGCCCCGGGGAAGACCCAGGACACGCTGGAGGGACTATGTCTCTCGGCTGGCCTGGGAACGCCTCGGGGTCCCCCCGGAGGAGCTGGAGGACGTGTCTGGGGTGAAGGAAGTCTGGGAGTCCCTGCTTAGGCTGCTGCCCCCGCGACCCGGCCCCAGATAAGCGGACGAAAATGGATGGATGGACACACAAAAAAAACAAAAACAACTCCAGGCATGAAAAATCGTTGTTTATTTTCAAAATCACCTTAGACATGTTATTTGCCTGGAATGTTCCACTATACTTTATGATGATTTGATACCTATCTCAATATACGGGTCACGATATCAATTCAATTTCAATATGTTTTAAGACAAAAAAAAGTCATGTATTTTTTTTCTGCTAATGAGTATAATATAATAAAACTATGATGTTAATGACTTACATATATTACATTACATACAATACATACAATACATTACAGTAGAACTACTGTACAGCTGCAGTTTATATGTGTTTTAGTTCATTTACAGCTCAGAATTTTTATTCAGTGAAAATAAGAAAGAGAGCTTTCTCACGCTATTTTATATATTTTATATTTTATAATATGGCCAGTCTACTCTTAATATAGAGTGGTAGGGGACTTACACTATCATACATTTCCTTCTTTCATGATGATTTGGTTTATTTTCCTGCCACTCTCAGCATGCACATGCCTCACGCTTGTGTCCGCTGCTCTGCCCTCTCCAGCAGAGACAGACAGTAGCTCCTCCCACACTGTCCTGCTACAGTCTGTGACACACATCCTTTTTCTGGACACTAAAACTATGTTATATTACATAGAAATGTCTCAACAGATCATTTTCGAGTAAAACTTGTGAGACAGAGTCTGAGAAAAAGATTGTGTATATTGTGAGTAATGTCGCATGTGTGTATACGAGAACATTTGATTAAAGCCAATGTAAAGCCAAAAGCAATTCTAAAGTATTTAAAAGTTGATATC